AAAATCACCCAAAAACAGGCCAGTCAAAAGCTATCCAATCAGGCTATCATGTCAGTGCATGCCCTAGTCATGAATGCGCAGGCAACAGCGATAGGTTGTCCGTCCTAACAAAGTGTCTCATGGTGGAAAATCGTATACTTGATAGTGGATTAATATTATCTGACAATTTCGGTTTTATATCAGGCCTGCATGAAGATGGTGCTGACTCAGATGAAATCACCTCTACTTTAGGGTGGTGTACAGACCTCTTCAAGTCCACATTACTAAGTGTTGATGATATGTGTTTCTATCCATGTCGTTTTTTGTCAGTTATAAACCTGTTCTACCACATCGATTTTTTAACCGCTGCCTTCACTAGTTTAAAATTCGTGTGTTTTGGGAAAAAACCTGCGCCATCAATGGTCTCTTGCCTCTAGTTGATTTTTATGTTGGGAAGCGAATAGTACAACTGCGGTAAACTGGAGAATCTGTTCATGAACCTAATCGTCTGGGCTTGTTAACACGCAGACATTCTTCTCTGTTTCGGAGCGTTCATCTGATTTGAATATTTTATCTAAGCTAAGTTTTAATTTAAACAGTCTTTACAATGTGTTAACAGACTCAAAAAAATTATACTTATCTGGCTCATGCCCTTTGGCCAAACAGCGCAGAAACATGGTTTCTGGACTCTGAAGCCAATTTCGGTGAGCGTGGTATAACTTATTCGTGTCCACAATTCCCAGCAATTATGCATGCACTACTTGGAAAGACGAATTTGCGTTACTTCACATAAGTTCACTTTAGAAGTTAGTGATCACTTCGAAATGCTGAAAGTAGTTATCCTTGAAGGAAATGATCATTCCGATTGCCAAAGTTATGAGGAACTCTAACACACTTTCGAGTAAGGAGATGGTTTGGCTGTACAGTGCTTTCAAGAGTGCATTAAGTCATCAGCCAATGGAAATTCGTCAAGGTACACTTTAGAGTCATTTTTCTCCACTGCACACTGTGCTCGTGGCGCTTCAGGAATTCATAGTTGATAACGTAGCTAGTTGCTGAAGTTTGCTCGACCGGTAGATAATCTTCGAGTGTTGACCTTGAAACGACAGGGTTATGCAACTAACTTTAGCGACTTCTTCAGTCAGAGAGCTCCCACGATTCCCCCAAACGCAGATAAAATTCATCTCAACGTAGCGATACACGTGGTCGCCTGGAATCAAACCACGTTCGACCAAGAACTCACAGTAGTCTAGGTATCACAGTAATTTTGATCAGTAACCCAAATGTTGTCGAAAACCTTGCTTTTTAGCAAGGATGCTACGACTATGGCAGACTATCTGGCTGGTGCGCATTAAGTGCAAACTTAGCCAGTGGCAATAGGCACGCACTTTATATTGGAGGTGCAGTTAGCGAAACCGGTTACCTGCTTGGCACCGTTACATATGTTCGTGGCCTCCCTGATACGGAGAGGGACTTCCATAAAGAACTTGCCTTCACTTTACAGGCTGCAAATGTGAAAACCCACTGCAGCATCCGGGAAATGTAACTATTTGAAGGTAGGCTTACATAAACTTATTCAGTGCATCTTCTTACTTGCTGATGTTACTATGCCTACCATAGGCATGGATCACCTGCATCATTACAACCTGCTCTTTGATCCCCGAAATCGCCACCAACTGATAGGTAGTGCCATTAAACCAACCCAGCCCATTCCTCTTGCACGATATCCTGTGAGGGATCGAAGAAGTTCGTTTATCCAGCTGAATCTCAGCCATTTATCTTTTAATGGTCAACTTGTTTATCTGTACTAAATGGATTAGATTGCAGACGATTTGGTTTCCAAGATACGAGAGTGCAGTTGTGCGTTATGGTGTGACTGTATATCCCTGTACTGTCTCTGCACCATTGTCAACAAATATATCTTTGGACAGCCGCAAGGGTTATACTCAATCTCCCCTAGTTGCGACAGTGTTACGAACAGACTAGCCACTAGGTCAAGTGGGTCAAGCCAAAGAGCCATCATGTAGTGTCGCCAAAGTTCCGGTGTAGCAGAATATGTGGCCACACAACGATCGTGAGCGTTATTGCTAGTCCAAGCTGGTCAGAAACGAACTGGAAGCTGTTCACGCAGCGTAAAAAACTGGTTTCTTGTAAATGATGAGTCCGACTCTTTCTTAACTTAATTCGTCACATTTATGGGGATAATTTTGGTTTCGGAACTGATGGTTGCACTCCAACCTGCATTATATCAGTTATGTTTCTGAAGAGCGCCGATATTATCATTTGTTATTGTCGAGACATAATTGTTTTTTCGTCCCTAACCATTCATTTAGTATTACATTCATGAATACCACCTTTCGTTGAGTTTGTGAATTATACGAAACAGTGATGTGGTTTGAAGATGAGATACAGGTTAGGATTAAAATCAGTTGTTCAGGGCTATGAGCGCAGTGTCTATAAATCAGTTACCGTAAATATCTATGATCACACTCACGTGTATCGTAATCTCCTAGCTTGTCAGAATTTCTCACCTTTGATCCATGCCACTCCTGATATTCAGTAGACCCATTCTTCAGTGTTGGAATGACAATAGATTATGTTAAATGTCCGTCAGTCAAATTTCGCCTGATATACGTTCAATGGAAGAATATGACTGCGTCCAGAAAAACCCTCCGTTGTGTGTGAGAATCTCAACATTTCTAGATGAGAAAGTCATTTCCCTCACTTATATTTTTGAAGCGTCTCAAATTCAACAATAAGTAGTAATTATTTTCTTTTTGGCATGAATGTATATCAAAAACTCACTTATGGGACTTAGTGGCTGGAACTAGAAATCTAAGGTTTTACATTAATGATATATATAGTAATAATTAAGTAAGAACATGGCGGAAAAGCAATGATTTTCTTTGGATCGTAGGTCACAAGTGATTAACAATTTGCAAGTACTTTGCTTTTTACGCACTACTTGCATTTAATTTCGAGGTCAACGAAAGTCAGACGTTTAAGTTTGATTCGGGGTGACCTTGGTGATCTGTCCTTGGGGGTCTGTATGTAGCAGTTTTTCATAGCGTTCGTGTTAATTGTACCACTTTTTATTACTTCTTTTTATTTATTTATGAGAAGACCAGGTATAAATGATTCAGGTATTATGTGGTGTTACAGTAACCTAAAACCTACGACGTATATCTTCCTTAAATGCTGTTATTCCTGCTTAAATAACTGAAATTATATTCTCTGTGATTGTTCAGAAAGTGATGCAGTCCTTATTTTGAACCGTATTCACTCTAGGATTGTTGCGTTTTGTGACGTAGGTCACAATAAGTCGTCAAATGTAACACGACCTATATTCTGAGGTGTTTCGTGATTATGTACATAATTGCGGACTTTCATCAAAGATTCATCCTTTTTAAAGAATTTTAAACCCATATGCTTATGAGACTAATGTGTCACATTGGCGCCTTGCATGGTCATTCTTCTAATACCGCCTTGGCTAAAACTGTCTCAGCGTTAACAACTTATGCATGGGTCCTTGTAACTGGTGTAATTATATTTCATCTCAGTGTTGCTGAAACCATACTGCACTCTTTTTAATAGTTTCTGGGGGATGAAACTGAAGTAGCACCAATGTAATGGCATTTATATTTTCCATCTCGCTGGACCTACTTGATGTTTGTCCTACTGTGTGAAGAGATTATATCTCACTTGAAAGTAATATACTACTGACTGATATGTAGCAGTTGGCTGAATGTCAGCAATTTTTCAGGTTAATAACTGTCTTTTTGACAACGTATTACAAATGCAGCAGTAAATCAACTGCATGGTTTTAATGTGTTTAAGTATCATATTCATCCTTCTACAGATTTTTGACATTTCTAACCGTATTTATTATGGATTTATCTCCGCAGCTGCTGTTTCGCTGATAGTTTGTCCACGTTTATTTGTATTAAGTTTATGAAAATGTAGCCACAGTCGACTTATCGCAGATCATCGACTGACATTGGTATTACCGCTAGTGGTCAAATTTTAAAATGAATTCAGCGGTACCAAAAGTCCTAAAACACCAGAGAGGAATTCAACCGGTGAAGCCGCTAAATAACGCCCAATTAATCAATAGTTACGCACGAGCTGTTAATCATTGTAATACGTCACTCACTGCTTTTATCTTTATTCCCACTTTTTTGTTAGTTTTTGCTATTGTAATTTAACTAGCTAACTGACTGAATTCTCATGAAGATTACACTTTAAAAGTCAGTTGGTGATTGATTGTGTATCAGAATATCGATCGGATTCTAAACCAGATTGGTGCATTTTGATGAATGAATACACACTAAACTTATGTCACTATACGATTGCACTTCGGCCTTAACTTTTGCTAAGACACCTACGGCTAAGATGACTGGTGACACACTAGTTATATTACCGGATTTTCGATGAAGCAAAGTTACAGTAATTGGCTATTGGGTTGTGACTAATGTAGTTAGAAAACTTTAGGGGAAACTTGCCGATTTTTGTCATATTGACACTAAGCTAAGCGACACTAAATCGCTAAGTATTATGACTTCAAGGGAATCGTTAAATATGCTGTTACTTATGTAATGACTGGACTATAAGCATATTCAAATATTACTTGTCAAGTAAAAGACAATGTCATTGACAAAGGTGGTTACTAGAACAGTAGTGTTTCCACAGAGTTGTGTTTCTGTTATCTATGAATTATACATTGTCGTGTTTGTATATTCACAGAACCATAATCTAAGACATCACACAAACCGACTTGTTTCGCATTTATTCATAACTTGATGAATATAAGATTAGTGACCAAATGATTTATGTATTTAAATAGTCACTTTTGACTGATTTATTTGAAGCTAATGTGGTTTCCCGCTAGGACACATTTTGGATCTCAAATGTTATAGTTCACCAAATCTCTGCATAGTAGTTTTTAAAAAAAACAGAAGTATCATAGCTGCTCTATATATTCTTCATTTTTTTCTCAAACTCTGTTTTAGAATTGTTCTTAAATGTCAGAATTTTTTATTCCCATCGCAAAGGCAGATTTACTGAAACTTTCAGCTGAAAATGCATATGTTGTAAATGATGTTATTTCTGTGAGGAATTTGCGGAACAATCTACCAAGTAAGTTTTTATTATTGACTATGTTTTTATGGAAGCATCATGATTTTATTGATTATAAGATTTAAACTCATATTATACTCATCTGTGTCATCGGGATGTTATAACTGTGATCTGTGTAACTTATTCACGGGAGTAGTTTATTAGTGGTGTTGTGGTAGCCGAGCATGTGGTTCTTATATTTACATATACACTTTAAAGAATATCAGACACCAGTCGCTGGTCATAATCATTTTCAAGTTTTAAAATAAGCTACAATTAATGTGTCTCATCATCCAAACTGAAGTAGGCAGTATAAATTTGGAGCTTCCTGAAGATTGGTTTAAACGTTATATAGCATTGATCAGTTTATGGCTATTGTGTTAACTGAACACATTTTAAAGGATACACGGCAAATCTTAGTGGCATTGGTTGGTAATTTGACGACTACCAAAAAGTTGTGTTTTTGCTAAATCTTGTCTTCATTTAGCTCGAAGTTCAGTGCCATAAGCATCTGATTAATTCTGTATTACATATGTGATTGCACGTGACTAAAGAAGATTCACAATCTCTGTTGGCTTGTAGTGTTATAATGTCGCCAAGTAAAAATACGAATGTTAATTTGCAATAATGAACGCTGGATAATTTTCTGGTCGATTATTTCCTGACCCGAACTAGTAAAATCCAGAAGACCCACTCAGTCGGGTCAGTATTTTCAAACAAAAGAGAGGGAGACACAAAATGACCAAAAGTACAAAAATATATGGCATATGTTGATCCAGTCACAAGACTCGAATGGTGGGCTTTAACTTTATGCTGGATTCTGATCAGTTGACGCCCAACATGTGATTTATTTTTATCCGACTAACAGACTAATGAGGTAGATTGTGGACAAATCAAATATGTAGTTAGTGAAAGCAGAATAGACTCCACGAAGCCTAAAGCTCATATCCTTACTGTTGGCATATACCAGTTTACGCCGTCTCTGGCGTAGACGTGATATCCGGCTATTATCGACCAAAGGACGTGTGTACTGCTCAGCAGTCCGCTCCGTCTCCTTTATGGGTGGCTGTGAGACCTGGCCATTGAAAGTAGGGGACATGAAAAGGCTAGCTGTCTTTCATCATAGGTGTCTGCGTTGTATCTCCCATGTTAAGTGGCATAATAGGATGAGCAATATTGAGGTTAGGCATCGGTCGAGTGCTAGGTAAGGAGGGGAAATCAATCGACGAGGCTGTGAAGCTACATCGACTAAGATGGTTAGGACATGTGTTACGTATGCCTAGTCATCGCCTTCCTAGACTGACGGTCAGTGTTAGCTGACATAGGATATCAGGTTGGAAAAGAGAGAGCTAGTGATGGTCAAACCAATGGTCAGTCAATGAAATCCACAACAGTTAGTTTAAGCCAGTCACGTAGGAAGGTGTAGACTTCTTGGCGGTTGGGGTCCTCGGGACGGTAAAAACCAATGACAGCTGGAGACAATTGGTGATATGGCTCAAAATCGTTCTCAATGTCTGTTGCAGATGCATCCACTCCTTGTGACTTATAATACCCAATAAAACTATGTGGTTCTTCGATATTACTATTCTTTTTGCCTCATATCTCTGTTAACTGTCTCTATTTTGCATTTCTTCTTACTTTCTTCTCTCTTCATTTGTGTGGCGACTCGAACTACTGCACATCGGTGCAAAGTTCTATGTTGAAATAGGTCAGTCAGTCAGTGGTAGATTAATGCTTAGCTCATTTAAGTGATGTATAAACATGAGCGCATTCCATTATTAATCCACTATTATTTTATTGCTAAATCACTGTGTATTTCTCTAGGGGACTAAAAGCAGTCTCCGAAAAAGAGTAGGTGGTGTTAATCATTTAACAAACCCATGATCATAATGGTGCCTTTGTGTATGTACTATCTTTTATGTACATTTCTGAAATGAGACATCTTTATCTACCACAAAACTTTGCTTGGTACCTCCCGAGAAATTATCTCTGCAAACAACCGTGAAATCATTTACGATTGCTTGGAATTCAGAATCTTCTGGATTCTAAAACACTCATATTCACACATACTTTATACGCTTTATTTCCCGTCTTGATAACAGCAGTTAATCTTATCTGTTGAGAAAAAAATTGATATTATTCATCTTTGGAAATGTTTATAGGGAAGAATATGACTAATGTAGCTGCTTCATCTAAACATCTTCAGTCATAAGAGAGCTTAGTGAGTTATGTAGGCTGTCTACAACTAGCAATCGTTGCAAACAAAGTACATTTCTCGTTTCAACTTCATCATTGATTTCCTTCTGAAGCTAGTAAATACACTTAACCATCTAATTCTCTAGGATTTACTATGTGTTTGGAGCTCCTGTTATCAACTTAAATTTCATCAATGGCAGAGTTATGTTAAGAGTTGCAAACTATATGTGTTGATCACTTCACTTTGGCAGATAGTTCGCTTTTAATAGACTCATTGATGATGAAATCTCAACACGGGTAGAGAAAGCTCGTTTGACACTTGTCGACTTGTATCTTCCTTGTCACATGCGTGATATCCGGCTGTCGATCAAAAGACGTGTACACTGTGTAGCACTTCTCTTTATCCTACTGCACATCTGGGACATATGGCCAGTGGAGTTGGAAGATACGAAAAGATTGGCAGTTTTCGACCATAAATACCTTCAGTCAATCTCTAACCTTAACTGGAGCAACATAAAAGGTAATAATGAAGTTAGATATCGATCCACGCGAGGAGATGCGAATCGCTCTGCTAGAGTCTTCAAGATGCTAAGAATTATTATAGCTAGAGATTTTTTATATCATCGCTCAAAGTCGTTCATAGAGGAATAGATGTCTTCTCTCTTTGTCATCAACCAGATTCTGGAAATCCTTTATCGGATTATTCTCTCCCCTGTAATTCCTCCATTATAGTTTCATTGCGTTTCTATTCTCTACTTTGTATTTGCTATTTGGCGAAGTATGATAACTTGAACTGGTCCCCTTTCGTCTAATGGGGATAAGTCAGTAATCGCTATCATCACCAAAGCTGTAATACGCTTATTGTCTGTGGGATCATGACACCTACTATCTAATTGTTCCCAGTTGAACGAAACCCACCCAACCAGATGCGACTGGTTGATGAAAGACAAGTGCTTTAGGCAATGAGCCACACTGTTATCCAATAATTGCGTTTCGTCCCATTTTGTAGACACCTATACATAAATACACTCCTATACCAGTAAGTGTCTGTTCAAACTTAGCATTAATTTCTTGAAGAGTATGTATCTCTTAAACATCGAAGTCAATATTGTTGTTAGCGTTATTATAGTTATTACTTAGCTAGTATTGATTGTCATCTTAGCTTCAAACTTCCCGACACTAATAAAAATCAGATAAGAGGGATATTCTGAAGTCTACCGTTAGGTACTGGCTTACGTACACCATATGTAGACCAGTATGTCCACTAGTCCGGTTGTAAGCGCCAGACGTTCGAATTCGCCTTTTCAATTTTCTGAGTAACACTCCTGTCTCATAAAAACAGAGGCTATGAAGAGGTGGCTACATGTGACAGCATTTCGTGAGGAAGACCTAAGTCGATCAGCCCTAGACCGTATCAGGTCGTTTATGGGGATAATGTTTACGTACATATTATAAATTTTTGTAAAATTAGAATGTTTAACAGTTATATGTATTCATATACATATATAGTTAATATCATACGTTCTCTTGTTTTCTTTTCAAGAATGTAAACGTGCTCTTACAAGTTCTGGGTATTCATATATCCTAAGTGAATTCGACACTTTATTCAGTGTGTTACAGTAAGTAGTTGTAGTTTCATTTTAATGGAATTTCTTTTCTCTAGTGAATGGGATAAACTAGACTCAAATACTAAAGAAGAAGCTTGGCATATTGTTCTTAAAGGTAAGGTGACACTTTTCTATACAGCCTGCTTCCCTCTCTTTATATTTCATTCAATATTGTAATCTGTGTGGTATAAAATTGAATTTTTTGGGTTGCTTTTGGAAAATGTTTCAGGAAGTCAAGAAAAATATTTAGATAGTAATTTTTTCCTTCAAAAGTTTGTTTGTAAGGATTTGATTTGTTTCAAGTTTGATCCCGGATTGAAATCACTTAGAGAAACATTGAAAACCAACAGGGAGTACTGGACAGCTGGCACTCATTGGCGCTACACACTCGCCAGGTTTTGAACCAATGACAAGACAAGCTCGTAGACCATTCAGCCACTAGGACCCAAGTCAATGGCCAACCCATAGATTCTAACTTCTATCAATTTCTTGACTTTAGCGCAACTGGCTCCAGCTGGCGTCATTGGAGAGTATTTGTCCTCACTCCCGCTACCGGGTAGACCACACTGGTCACGATTTCTCACTAGAACTCCAGCCAGCTTCGTCCTGCAGACAGTCACTTGCGAGCATTAGATTAACTTTTTTGTGGAGTAATATTTTCTTTTTTCTTCACGTTCCTAGTGGAACATAGGGCTTCAAGCTAGTGGCTTGAAGTTTCTGTAGCAGTGTTTACTTTACAGGATGGGGTTGCTAGCCTCATGCCCAACCTTTCCTCTTCACCAGCATTATTTCTGGCTTAACGAGGTAAAGGAGTGCGTCGGTGGCCGGGGATTGAACCCCGGACCATGTGCATGGTCGGCGAGCGTCCTAACCGCTATGCCACCGACGCATGGAGTAATATTTCTTATCCCTTTTAAGATGTGTAAGAAAACAGTATGTGATCTCAATCATATCTATTTGTTTTATAGTAGGTGTGATGGTATGATTATTTAGATAGACTATCATAACTACTTGTATTAATTATGCCTTGTTGAATATTTTTCATAGATTGTTTTGCGACTTTACACAAGTTTCACAGTTCATAACAATGAGGATTTGATTGGTTTTGAGGTTAGAATTCATGAGCTACTAAATTCCCTACTAGCTGCTGGAATGGTCACCACGTTCTCCTTGTAACCTGTAGGTCTTGGGTATAATCCATAGCGAAGGCACCTGCAGATGAAGATTCCTATATAAGGACGAGAATAATTGTGCATTACTTCCTGCTAGTTTTCATATGATTCTTTAACCAATGTCAGTTCATCCCCTAACTTGAAATAGTGAGGAGTATTCGATGTATTTGTGTTGCTAGTTGGTATTTATTCAAAGAATCAATAAATCTATGGCTACCTGCATAAATAGGGTAATTTGATGTGATTAGTTTCTTTGACGTCGTGTATTAATTAATAACAATAATGATTTGCCCCATTCCAAAAGAGTACTTATAATACAGTGTGGGATTCTCAGCATTTGGTACAGTATTGCATCTAATTTACTCAACAACAACAAGAAACATTTCATGGTATGGGTAACCAGAATCGATAATAGCAGATCTCTGGTATTTTCAGTGACAGTAAAGTCAAAAGTGTACAAAAAGTCTAAAATAATGATGATAATAATGGTGATAGCTGAAGTTATAAGGTAATTGAAATAGTGTCACTATAGACTACAAAACAGAAGAGAATAAAGAGCCAGGTATTTTGCTAACAACATAGTAAGTCGTAGGTGTGGCACTTAACATTATGTCCATCACATAGAAAGCGGGCCAAATATGGTATTGTTGAGTTTTGTACTTGATTTTACGAGCATATAATCTTTTGTAATGACTTCTAGTCTTATTTGATGTGATAATAAAAGAGGAGAGTTGAGGATAGAGAGGGGTGTTGAGGGTCAGTCGATATGGATTTAGCTCATTTCTCACATGAGTCCAGGTGTTTATCGACTACAGTGGTAACGAGCTGACTAAGTGGCAAATCATTTGCCCTACTGACAACTCTTAATACCCTTCGTAATATGACATAGTCCTTTTTGAGTAGCCCAGGAAAGACTATGTGGCGGTGGGGCAGTAAAGTACAGTAGGTAAAATGCAAAGAACTATTCCAAGGTATTTTATGGTTGACTTAGTTCTTATTTCAGTGCCCTCTATGTTATAAGCATCATGTGAACGGATCAGTTCGTGTAGATCACTTTTATGCCTAAAGTTGAAGTCTGACATGTAGAGGGATTTAACGTTTGACCATTTAGCTTGAACCACTAGCTGATGTTCGACAAAAAGCTACTAAGTTTGGAATTGTCAGATTGGGACGTAACTGGCAGCGAGCTAATGAGATTATCAGCATGCTTAACGAAGTTGATTTCATCCGAACGAGGTTAATCATATAAGAAGAAAGGAAAAAGAAGAGAGAGAGAACACCATCTTGAGGGACACCGGTTTCAGTAAGCAAGACAGAGGAAGATTTGCGTTTATATACAGTATGCTGCATTCTGTTAGAGAAATAAGAATGCAACCAGTTAATGAATTAGATACGCAACTTCTATGTAATGACTTTTGTGCTGCTAATTTCCTGGTGTCATGGAGAAGTGGCTCACTGGCTCAAGCACCCGACTTTCATGGGTTCAAATCCCGCTCTATCTAATATAGCCTAGACAACTGGGTAGAGTATCACCAGCTCTCTCATACAACAAGTGTGGCTCATAGCCTGGAGCATGAAAAACTTGTTCCAGGAACTAAGTTCACTATTACTACCTGTCCGATCTCCGGCCGACGCACTCCCTAACCTCAATTAGACGGTAGCAAGTGCGGTTGGGCATAAGACTAGCAACCGTGAAACAGAATAGTCCCACTGGTACTGAAAATTCAAACTAGGAAGCCTATGTTCCTTTGGGAACGCAAAAGAAATAAATTATATATATATATATGATGTAGGCGTGAGAGATATTCATAAAAGGATGTATGCATGGCCAATGGTGTATGCGTGAGAGAAGATAAGCATAAAAGGGTAATCGATTGTTTATCTGTTTACATATGAGAATCAATATTACCAATGAAGTGGACTGTTACAGGTTGAGCAGTAGTATCTTTGTCTCCGTCCTTATAGTGAAACAAATAGATTATTAGTAGTACTTAATTTATACATGTTGTGTTATATGTGTACTAGGCGTCAGTGGTTTAACGGTGGAATACTCTCCAACTACCTACATGGTCCTAGTTTCAACCCCTGACCGACGCAATTCTTAGCCTCTCTTAACTGGTAGTAAGCTTAATAAAGAGGGAAGTACATGAGTGAGGCTAATAATCCTACTACGTAAAAAGGAATAAACACCAGTTCTACTGAAACTTGTTGAAGCCTTATGTTCCACTCAAAACGCATAGGATTTAAAAATAAATATGTATACTAGTGAAATGACTTAGAAGATGACAGCCAATAAGTATGGAGGCTACTTTCGATATTTATTGCTAGTTGATTGACTCTTGACATGTGAATTGAATCTCAGGGTAGTTTATACGATTAGTACTCAAGGGTTACTTCAATTATAATCTAACAAATTATGCAGTCTATCACCATGGTCTTAATCTCTAATTCATTTCATTCCACTAATTTCATTTCTCTAACTGATGTCAGCTCATATGATGAAATCCTCCAACCAATCAAACAAAACTTCCCTACAAAACCAATACTTGAAAATTGATCTGATGCTCATTAGTGACTAGCCCTATTCAGGCAGTTAGTTACCTGGGGTTCTAGGGGAAAACCGTGACCAGTAGGGTACAGCAGGTTGAAGGTGAGGACAGTTACGCATCGAAGAAGACATTGCGAAGTGGTCGCGCTATGTCGTGAATTGGCAGAAGTTGGAATTCATGGACTGGTCATTGGATCGAGTCCCAGTGGCCTAATGGTCTACGAGCTCGCTAGCCTTGTAACCAGAAGGTCCTGGGTTCGAAACGTGGTGGTGGGTGCGTACTTCTGGAGAGTCCCAAACTAGGACGGAGGAAACAGCTGTCCAGTACTCCCAGGTGGTTTTCCAATGGTTCTCTAACTGATGTCAGCTCATTATGAAATCCTCCAACTAATTTCAAATAACTTTAACTAGCTTCTTTATTTTCAATAGGATAATTATGTGCATAATATATACTTAGATATTAAACTAGGTATTTTTTTTCTCTCTCCCCTTACATTTGATATAATAGGATGTGAAATTTGTGCTCGTGAATTGGGTTCAGTATTGGAAACGTTTGACTCTTGTCGATCAACTTATGATCAAGATGATATGAAGCGGCATAGGAGTGTAATAAAAATGCATACATATTTATTATGTCAATTTGTTGATATGTTTGAAAATGAATTGAATGTCAATGCTAAATCAGTAATCAGTGGGAATGTGAGTTTAATCCACTTTTTATTCTTCTTCATTTTTAAATGTTTAGTAATGAAAGTATGTATTAGGTGGTAAGATGAAGATGGCAGAAAGTTCTAGATCCAGTTTTCTTACTTTGTTGCACTCTTCAAGTAAGGCGTACCTGCATACCTTGAAGAGGAACTCATATCTACTCTGGAATTACAACCCCGCATCACCTCCTGGTACTTCAGTTGGAGATATTATCACTGAGCTATTCGGATCAGCAGACTACTGACCTCCTGAAGAGAGGTCTGTGATTAGTACATTGGTTGGTCGTCACTAGGGTGTAACTTAGGCCAAGTTCCTGGTTGTTTTGTGTTAATTCTGACTGGATTCTATCCGTTGAGTTTGTAATCTCGATACCAAACCAATTGACTGGATATCGCGGTGCACTTCAAGTTGATGTTAGGTGGTTGGAGGTAATCACCGTACTACTCACGGAACTTTAAGTAATTCAAACAATGTAGATACATTATTCATGTACCACTTCATTCATTTGTGCGTACGTGGTCCAACGGTAGAATACTGTCCAGCCGCGCCTTAAATAATCCAGGTTTCGATCCCCGGTCGACGCACTCCTAAATCTCGCTTAGCCGGTAGTAAGCGCGATGAGGAGGGGAGGTTGGGCATAAGACTAGCAACCTTATTCCGTGAAAGAGAATAGTCCCACTACTATTGAAGCTTCAAAGCTCAAACTGGAAGCCCTCTGTTCCACTGGGAACGCGAATGAATAAGATAAAGAACCTTCAATTATTTAACATAATATAATATCTAAACGATCACTATCGACGGAATAAATTTGAAGGAAGTTACGTCTTTCACTTACCTCTCCTGGACAACGCTGTTTCAACTACAGGCGGCACTGAGGAGGAATTTAAGGCCAGCGAGAATCGGAAAGGCGAGACAGACCTCTGCATTACTCTCTGAAATCAACGTAGAAATCTACTGCACTCAACATAAAGAATAATATTTGAATTTTCAACACTAATGTTAGGTCATTTCTTCTCTATGAGTCAGAAACTTTGCACCCGCATCACAAAAAGCATTTCCAGCAGGCAACTGCAGACTTTAATCAACAGGTGCCCCCTCTCATGGCTCGATGCTAAACACCAGATGACCAGAAAGGATTAGGCAACAAGGAACTCTGGCCACGGACCACCCAAGAACTTGTTACCCAATAAATATGCAGAAGGAAATGGCGATGGATGAGACACTCTGCAGAGACTGTTGAGTAACGTCATATATCAGGCGGGTCATCGAGTGGAAACTCAATGGGAAATGCCTACTTGGGCGTGGGTCCGAGAGAGACGTGGAGGAGGTGAGAGCTTATGGACAGTCATAGAGCCAGCTGGAGACGGCTGAAGAGAAAACGGAAAATCCAGATGTTCTGTTGAAGCCCTGTTACAAAGAACCTCCAACGAAGACTCCAACCAGGCGATCTGTACCTTCCTACCTAATCTTATTAACTATCACCAGTTTTTTTTTGATGCCATCACCTCTAAAGTTTTTTTCTGACCTATTTCTACTTCATCTAACATTGTTCAATAAGGACAGCAATTGTATGCTTAGAACACTTTCCAGGTGCCTCAACGGTTAAAGATTTTCAACGTCCTATTGACTAGCTTACACTCTGCTTACTTGATTTTCGAAGTCTAGTTAAAATGTTACTTACTTTGTTGTTCTATCTAATATGAGTGATTTAACGAAAACGTTTACTTCCAAGAACTTGCATTCTCATATGTTCTGCCTTAGTTGGTCATATCTTACAGTCATAAAAGATAAGTGCAGAGCGGTTTGTTGACCAATACATACACCCTTTGAAGGGTAACTAAGGATTGTGTAATTAAGCGGCGCAATAATATATGTTGAATTAAGCACGTATTCATCTTACAGTGTCAAATCCTTCATGATTGTGAAACATGACCTTTGAAAGTGGAAAACATGAAAAGGCTAGCTATCTTTGATAATAGGTGTCTCTGTTCTATCTCCCGTGTCAGGTGATATGATATGGTGAGCAATATTGGGGGGGGGGGAGGGTAGGCACACAGTGTTTGGTAAGACGGGGAAGTCGATCGATGAGGTTGTGAAGCTACATTGATTGAGATGGATAGGATATATAATGCGCATACAGAGCTATCACCGTCCTCGGCGGGCATTGTTAGCCGACATAGGATGGATCAGGTTGGGTGAAAGCTAGTGGTGGTCAAACGAAAATACAGAATCAGTCCGCGAAATCTTTGACAATTGGTTTGAGCCAGTGACGTAAAAAGGTGTAGACTACCTGGTTGAGGTCCTCGGGATTCTGCGAACCAATGGCTGAGATGCATTCACTCTTTGTAACCTGCCGTATCCATTAAACGCTAATGTTTTTCCATGCTTCAATTCTTTCCCCCTCACATTTCTGCTTATTATCGCTCTCCCAAATCTGTTTTTTTTTCCTGTCATTTGTCTACCATTGTGTGGTGCATGGAGTGCGGTAACTCGAACTAATGCACTTCTGTGCAAAGTTCTATGTTGAAACCAGTCAGTCAGTCAGTCATACAGTGTGAAAACGATTTTTATAAATATCATGGCCGGCAGGAGATGGAGTCTCTCCGAAAGAGATTAGTTCCATGGTAGATTGCAGACAGACCTTTCTGATAAGAGTCCCATTAGGCTTTGAACCCCTCGATCTAAATAGTTTTTGATATTTTCCTCTAATTATCTACTAATTTTGTTTGAGTTTATTCATTTTATTGTCTTAGTGTAAATGGTGGTTTTTCTTTCAAAATAAAATATTTTTTTAGACTGGACGTGGTAAAGGAGGAAAAGGTAATCGTCGCGCTGGAGATCGAGAACCTGCTGATGTAAACTTATCGATGAACTGGCTCGCGGAATGTGAATCAGCAATCAATATTATTGATCAAATGTTTCGTTTGAAATTGGATAAATTATGGGAGCCGCCTATCGTTGAATCGGAATTCATTAAGTAGGCTATATTCATTTTCGATTTGTATTCACACTGTTCCTACTCTTTCTATGCTTTTATGACCTAACTGATTATGTAACGTGAGGGGATAAGAGATTCGGGAATGGGCATTAATCAAGCAGAGAGAAAACGTTATATTTATACATTCTTAGCCACATTAAAGTTCGTCTGGGCCAGCAGAGAGAATAAATTGTTCTGATTGGTCGACAATCGGCCTAAGGTTAAACGGCTTGTCCAATGATATTATTTCCTGATCACAATGTAAACTAAATTTTGATTTGAAGAATAAACACACAAACAATCTACATCACGCCCACATATTACGCTATTGATCAGAATATCTGAAATTAAGTCATCATGTGGTGTTTTCTTCTTGTCTTTTTTTTTCGCTCATCAGTTTATCAGCTAATTGTTGTTACAAATTGCTTGAAAATCGTGATATGGCTAGTAATCAAAATATACGAATGGCAATTATCAGTTTATTGGCCAATCTGGTACGTCGTCATCGTCATGGCTTTACGTGTGCTGTGAAATTGGCACAATTATTACAATGTTATCCTCATATGGTTAATTGTCTTCTTGCCATCGTGAAATCTTTCACTGAGGATGAGAAAATTAATGATACTGTACGAGATTTATTAAAGGTTAGTTGTCGGTGAATCATATTTACTGTTATTGTTGTTCTTGTTCTTTGGGTCTTCTCTGTATGATCACAATGAGATCATAAGAAAAATAAAAAAAGATGGTTGCAGCGAGGGAAATTCTCTTTTCAACGAAGTCATCAGCTAGACTGTAGAACATTCGCGTGTACATAGAGTAAATGGGTGAGAAAGTTTCCAAACTACTTCCCGTTGATAATCAAATTAACAAAACTGCAAATAGGGAATAAAATGTAAAATAGCGTGGATTTGGACTTTGGGATCGCTAGTGTCTCAGCTATGCCTAGATGTCTTGATCTCACTCCCTTTGCTAGGTTAGGTTTGGTGGGATCTTGTATAGGATTTTAAAAGATTTTTTAAATGGACCTGAATGTCCTGAGTTCACCAGATGTTCTTTTAACGAGCTATATATATACACACACCTACGTTCTCTTTTTTACTAGACAGACTGTGTAGTGTTCCCGAGCGCGTCCTTTAAGTGGACGCTTGGTATGACCATTGCACTCAATTCCACAAGAGCAAGTGAACTGGCATATGCATGCTGAAGTAGCCCAATGCGGCAGCTTGCCTTTCACGTGTTGGTTGAATAGTTTCTTGCAAAATACTGTCACTGGTGGCTAAGTATGTTTTACTGAGAGATTTAAAAAACCGTTTGTTTAGAGAATTTCTGCTTCAATATCACTTTTAAATTCGAGATTAAGCAGCAGCATCTTGTTGGGGCGCGACCTGGACCCGTTCAGGAGCTCTCTTCGGTCCTAGGTCCTTGTCTGTGAATCTGGATGGAAAACCATTACTACGCTATTTTCCATTATTACTACGCTTTCAATCCCTAATTGCACTAAAAAGTCAATTTTCTCAATAATTCTGATCGTACTATGTTTTTATGCGATCTTCTTGTTTATTTTGTTATTATTACATTTTAATCCCTATTTGTAGTTTTGTTAATTTAGCCCTCGTCCGGAAGTAGTTCTGGAACTTTCTCACCCATTTACTATATTGATATGGTCGGTAATACACTTGGTAGTTTGCGCAACGAATTTCCTACCTAGTCGATTCGCGAGCCTACTGTTCTAATCACTGTTAACAACAATAACACGATACGATACCACCGAAACCGCGACTCTAGAAGACAAGGCAAACCGTTGACGTAGAGCTTCTGCTGTCTCGTATCAATGATGAAAATGACTGACAGCGGTTATGACTCTCGCCGATCATGCACATGGTCCGGGATTCGATCCCCTGCCGATGCACATCTGATACCTATGGTTGGCTTGCAAAATTTGGGCTACCGATATCACATACTGAAAATTCCATACCTGTACCAAAAAAATACGGTGTGGAATCAAGTTGTAATCAAAAAATATATATGCCTCGACTGACCTTGAGAGACATTAATCACATTGCTAAATTAAAACAGGCAACAACCAATGGGAATTCAAGGTCATAGGTGGGGAGATGGGAATGCAGCCAGCAATGTAAAGATAAATGTAGTATTTTAGGAAAATTAAGTCTGTATGGCACGAATGTTGTACAGTTCAGTTGATGACTTCGTTGAAAAGAAAATTCTGTGCGTTGCAACCATCTTTCTAATTTTTCCTACGATCCTTTGGATTCTGAGTGGAGTTTCGGGAGCAAAACGCCGCTTCTTTCTGTTGTCTGCAGGCTTTCTAATAGCTGGCTCCACGATTGCCTATAGCCCTTCTTCCGCCCAACTGGTCGTCCCCCATTCGGCCCCACTCAAGGGCTTGTCAGACGTGCAGTGTTGTGGAGCTACATCGATTGAGATGGCTGGGAGACAGGTGTTACGCATACCTGACCACCTCTATCCTTATCTAACAGTGTTAGCTGATATAGGATTAAGTTGGGATGACCAAACTAAAATCTGGCACCATTCTACGAAGTGTTTGGCCATTGGTTTTAAGCTATGTTGGGAGGTGTGTGTTTAGCTGTCATCGTTGGGACTCTAAGAACCTATAGCTTGAGATTGTTAGTGACATGGCTAAAAATCTTTCTAAATAGTGCAGATGTATTCACTCTTTATGAACTTCTAAATCCATCAAATTGTCACTATCGTCCATGTACTTATTCTTTCTTCCATATGCATCTGTTCGTTATGATCCCCTTGAATTGTTTTCTTCACCTTTGTGTGTGTTATTGAAGTGTGGCATCTTGAACTAGTGCACTTTATGTAAACAGTTCTATGTTGAAAACTCAGTCAGTCAGTGTAGTGACTAGCTACAGGACGTATTTGCCTGGAGTTCTAGTGAGAAGTCGTCACCGGTGAGATCCACCCGGTCGCGAGAGTGAGAACAAATACTCACCGATGACATCAGCTGGTGCCAGTCGGGCTAAAATCACGAATTGGTAGAAGTTAGAATTCATGGACTGGTCATTGAATCGACTCTCAGTGGCTTGTCTTGTAACTAGAAGGTCCTTGGTTCGAAACCCAGTGGGCAGGTACTACCAATGAGTCCCAAACTAGGATGAAATAGCTATCCAGTACTTCCTGTTGGTTTTCAATGGTTCTCTAAGTGATATCAATCCGTGGTCAAATATGAAAGTCGGTCTAGTGTTTGCATCAGAACAACGTCATATCTGCTGATAGAAGGCTTAAGCAGCATTTCAATAAAAAATTTTTATCATGAGCTGACATTAGTTAGAGGACCATTGGAAAACCTGGGAGTACTGGACAGCTGTTTCGTCCTAGTTTGGGGCTCTTCAGCAGTACGCACCCACCAAAAAAAATTTTCCTTCACATCAATGGTGTAACATAAAAGCTGAATGGGGTTTTTATGTCAACCTCCAGTTACAGTTTAACAACAGAAGACAAGGGCCAGGCAACAGATCGTTTATTAAGGAAAATCAACACATATTTATAGATTTTAATGTACATAATTGTAGATTATTGTTAGTAGAAAATACAGTCTTTTGATTGGTTGTTTCTCACAGAGAGTTAACCTTGCATCTCTTTGTGGCTGTGTCAGATCATCCATATGCTAACTGTATCCGCCTACGCAAAGCCTTTGTTCTCATTTTCTCACCACCAATATTGGGGACATAAACATTGACGTCAATTACTGTCTACCAACTTTGGCTGCAGCCAGCTGTCACCATAACAGTTATTATTACTTCAATTGTTATCTTTCGTTTCACTATTTATTATATAACTTGTATCTTTATAATTATAAAATCCACTTTTAGGAAATATGTAGTTATGATGGAGCACATTTGGAGCGTGATTCACAAGCTTCTCAAAACTTTTCCAATTTCTTAATCGAAGTAGCTCGACTATATCCATCACTGGCTCAATCAATTTTACCATTACTTCGTTCACGACTAGATGATGAACCCTATCAAATGAGAAATTGTGTTTTAAGCATAATTGGTGAAATACTGCCAATGTTTGCTAAACGTGAACAATTAGATCAGAATGAACGTGTTCAAAGAGATCGTTTAATGGATTTATTACAGGTATGATGTTCACCTTTATTTTTCTTCTTCTTCTTATGTTGCATCCTTTGTTTATCCTACTTTAGGCATGGAAGGTTAATATTCTTTATTTGTGTAGTGTTCAGTCTCCTGGTTGCATCACAAACTGGGAAAAACAAGCCAACCTTATTACATGAGGGCTACTACCCAGGGTAAAGTAGTTGGAGCGAGGTGAAGCTGGTCGTGGCTGAACTTTCAACCAGTGCGTCGTCAGGAGTTCAAATCCCCCTACCCCACTTGAAGAGGTTTCAGCAGGCATGCAGCACCACTAACCCCCTCAACAATTTTCACTGCCAACTGCACGGAATCGCAACTAGTGGTTGAGTAACATTTCATTCATTCGGAATGAGATTCGAACGTGGGATGTATTGGTTAAAAGCTGACCGCTTAAACCAATAAGTCACGCGACTCCCTTTAGTGTTGTTGTTGTTGTTAGAAAGCACTTCATTCAATTGCTAAGCAATAAATGCTACGCATGAGCTATTCAAATTATGTGTAGAATTCCTTGTAGTAATCTGATCGTTTCATCATACTGTTTTTATTGACAAATATTTATAGTCTAATGTAACACATCTTCCAATAGATCTTATAAAGCGTGATTGCATCTCTACGAAGGCAAACAGTTAAGTCACCATTATTGAGTAAAATATGGCCAAAGTGGTTATCATGGCTGCCTTTATGAAAAAATGGGATTTCAGGAAGAAGAAAAGAGACGGACTACACCTTCCCTTTTATCTAAAATGTTTCTCGGCGACCAATTACATATTCATTCATTTGGCAATGGGCTACATTTATTGTGTTAGGGTTAGTGATACTGTCTGGCTGGTCAAATCTAGCTACTTGGAGATTTGAGTTCAAACCTTGTATCTCATTGGCGGTTGGTTGTAGACTGACCGCCTAGACCAGTGTGAGCCAGGCCTCCAACTTTGGTACGCTCAAGTTTAACTGAGAAGTACTAACTACTTCATAATGAGCAATATGAAAATAAATTATTATTTAAACCGGTTAGCTTGTTTCAACAGGCATTGTTGTATGCTGAAACAATTTTAGCTTCAAGTAAAAATATAATCTAATCTTTCTACCACAATTGTTTCCTGGACTCAGATGATTTTGTCATCTAACAAAAACTCCTCGAAAGTACTCCAATCGTTTATGCATGAATTTTAATATTTGTGGAATCTTTAATAATAATAGTAATAATAATAATAATAATGTCTTTATTCTGGATAGTATTTATAAAATGTACAGAATTTTCAGAGGAGTTTATTGCATGATATTTTCCCTTCGTACAATATCTTCAAGTAAAATATTAATTGACAGTATATCCTTCCTGTGACACACAATGCTCTCTGAACTGAAGCATAAACCATTCCATTATGATATGTATCTGCTTTGTCTCCTTCCTTCAAGAAATCCACGATATCTAGCTGTGAAAGCCAATTGTAAGATGTTCAGAAGTACATTTTGAGACTGGCTACCCATAATCAAACCTTTCCCCAAGTTTATTAGAAACTTACGAAACAGAAGCATTAGAGGTCATATCTGAATTGATTAAGACAAACCGAATGAGAGAAAATATATGCAATAGAGAGGGAGAGAGAGTTTTTGGTAGCCCAAGTTTTAAGCAGGCAGCCGCCAGAATTATTAGGTGATCATCTGCACCGCATACATATATATATATATATATATATTTTTTTCTTATGTTTTAAATTATTGTTTTTTATTTTACTTTATTAAGGAACATATTCATGATGTAAATGGTTATGTCCGGGCAAAAGCCTTACATATATGGCACAATATTGTAGCTCTGGGAGTAAGTGTTTATTGTCATTGGAATTATTATTTCTCTGTTTATTCTAATGAAAGCCAAAGACAGTAGTTCACGTCTGTGTAAATGCCCACTTATACATGCTTGTATAGCATGACATGAGTTCCCTGAAGATGATTCTAGATATGCCTTGCTGACTAGTGAGTGCCAACAAACATGAAACCCCTAGGGTTAGACAAGGCTTCCTGCTGATTGCCTCCAACCATCTAATAACAACAGTTGAGAGTGCACATCGTGTGATGTTAATTTCAAGTCACCTAGCTAGCATGATATAGCCATACTGAAAAACAAAGGATTCAGAAGGAATAAATATGTATAATGCTAGAACCTACACGAAGATTCAGTATGGGTACATGTATGTTTCTTTGATCTATTTTGTTTATAGCCGCCTGCCAATTCCAGACAGGTATATTAGCACTACACTACACTGCACTGCACTGCACCCTTTTACGCTATCACTTTCAACAATACACACAATCGCAAAAATGTTTTAATCAAGCGCCAATCAGCATTCGCATTCTTTGGAATATAAGGATGCGTGATTATATATGTTTGTTATGCGCACTGAAACCTGGTTTTTCCAGATTTTCCTTTTCTAGGCTGCATTTAGATGTGGCATATCCATAAAATCAAAATTTGAAAGTTATTTTGTTGCTGTATGGTGTGATCTAGAGAACTACTACTACCTTCGCTTTGTATTCCGCTGTTAACCGGCGAACCTCATAGCTATCGTCCTATTCGATTTTACAATCCATGATATTTACTACTTGATCGTTATGAGTAGTAGGAAAATACAACAACCATGTCAGTAGTGAGAGAGAGAGCTCTATCGATGTCATCTGCAGTCACATTTCAAACACTTTTTGTATTTCTAAAAGCAATCTCAAACTGCCACTTTGCTAATAATAATTAGTTGTCCCTTTGTCCGTCTGCCTCTTCTCTTACTTTTGTTAGCCTTCGAATCTTCGAATGTTTGGCATGCGATTCGCCTCCTGTCAAATGTAAGATGATTCTACAGGACTGGACTATACCAATCCCTAGCTTAAAGATAGAGAGTGAAATGATAGAACGTGTTGACCACTTCAATTATTTGAGAGGTTGCATCAACTCGAACATGCTGATCGCTGACGAAAACTCAGCACGGATACAGAAGGCTCATGTAGCACTTACCAACTTTCACCATCTCTGGCATAGACGCAATATCCAGCTATTGATCAAAGGACTTGTGTACTGCTCAGCAGTTCATCCAGTCCTCCTTTATGGCTGTGACACATGTCCATTGGAAGTAGAAGACATGAAAAGACTAGTTAGCTTTGTTTGATCATAGGTGTCTCCGTTCTCTCTGTCATGTGTGTGTGTTAGGTGGTAGTATAATCGCGTGAGTAGTATTGAGGTTAAGCGTTCGAGTGTTAGGTGAGGAGGGAAAGTCAATCGATGAGTTTGTGGAGCCTCATCGATTGAGATGGTTTGGACATGTGCAATTAGTTGTGTTCTCTGAGCTGGTTGGTTTAATTGCGGAGCTTTCGTCGTCCTTCTGAACAATATCCCCCTTCAGAGCAAGTTTTAGCATAAAATGAACTGATTTAAATTCTCCATGAATGATAGAATCGCGTCTCCTACCAGCCATCTTCGTGACTGGTAGTCGATTTACATCTGTGTTGATCATTTTTTATTGACTTGGATTTTGAACTTTCTCGTCACATGATTTACTTTTTATTAGTTGGTAGATTTGGCCTAAATTGACATGTTTGTTAATCGCATATTCACTTGAGTACCAGGCTTCTAGGAATTCTCTGGAATCAATTTCGGTGTTTCCTCTATTTAAAATTTCGATATCCTCATAATCAAGTTTGTGTCCATAATTATCTACATGCATTGTGTTCCTGCATTCTGATTCGAAGGGGACGCCCACTTTGACCGATGTAATGTCTGTTACAGTTCATAGAATTTATTTTGTAAATGGTATTAATTTTATCTCCTTTTTCTTTTGGATCTTTTGGTCTGCACAATATCGATTGAAGTGATTGTGCTGGCTGGTTTGTGTGCTATATCTATTTCAAACGATTTTAATATTCTAGCTGTTATATCAGAGGTATTTTATCTTATATATGTTAGGATGAATTTTCTTGTGGTCTTCGGTAATGGTTTCTTATTGGTGTTGTGACTCGATTTTGAACACTTTTTGATGAAATTGTGAGGATGTCCATTCTTTTTGAAGACAGTTAGTAGGAGGTATTTTTCTTCCATTCTCTTCAACACTGGCGTGCTACAGTGTGTTTGAACTCTTTTAAACAATGTCTGCACACAGTTTCTTTTATGGGTAATTGGGTTATTACTACTATAGTTGAGTATTTGATCTGTGTGCGTTCATTTTCTATATACTTGTGCTTCTAAATTTCCTGTGGTAGTTCTCCTGATTAAGATATCTAAAAATGCGATTTTATTATCTAATTCTTCTTCTCTTGTGAATTTAATGTCTTCAAATATGTTTTTTTTTAATTTATGGGTAAATTCCAAATCATTTATTTTAATTATTACAAATGTATCATCAACGTAACGTGCCCAGATTTTTGGTTTAATTATGGGTAGGGCTATTAATTCGAATCTTTGCATGATGGCTTCTGCTATTAATCCTGATATGGGCGATCCCTTTAGTGTTCCTTTTACCTGTTTGTATATTTGAGTATTGAATTGGAAGTATGTTGTAAGACATAATTCTATGAGTTCTATCCAAGTTGAACATTGTATTTCTATGTTTTCATCACTATAGAGTAATTGTTGCATAGTTTCTGTTGCTAGTTTTTGACTAATTGAAGTATATAATGCTGTGACATCAAAGGACACCATTATTTTGTTGTCATCCACTTGAATGTTTTTGATTTTCTCTAAAAATTGGATTAACGAATTGATATAATGGTCGCATGATTCTGTTAGGTATTTTAATTTCTTGAAAAGTTCTTTAGATAGATTATATGTTGGTGTTCCTGGCATCGAAACGATTGGTCGTAAGGGAATGTTTGGCTTGTGTAGTTTCGGTCTACCGTGAAATTGAGGTATAATAGGTCGGTTAGATTTCATTCGCCATTGATTGGGATAGTGTCGAAATTTTAAACAGAGAAAACACCGAAATTGATTCCAGAGAATTCCTAGAAGCTTGGTACTCGCGACTAACAGGCATGTCAATTTAGGCCAAATCTACCAACTAATAAAAAGTAAATCATGTGACGAGAAAGTTCAAATTCCAAGTCAATAAAAAATGATCAACACAGATGTAAATCGACTACCAGTCACGAAGATGGCTGGTAGGAGACGCGATTCTATCATTCATGAAGAATTTAAATCCGTTCATTATATGCTGAAACTTGCTCTGAAGGAGGATATTGTTCAGAAGGACGACGAAAGCTCCGCAATTAAACCAACCAGCTCAAATCATCCACCTGAACTCCAAATCTTCTCTATTAGTTCGGACATGTGTGGCGCATGCCTAGCCGTTGCCTTCCTCGATGAGCGATGTTAGCTGATGTCATCGATCAGGTTGGGTGGAAGCTACTGTTGGTCAAACGAAAACATGGAATCACTCCATGAAATCTTCGGCAGTTGGTTTGTGCCAGCCATGTAGGGAGGAGTAGACTTCCCGGATGAAGTCCGCAGGATGCTAAGAAGGAATGTCTGGAGACAATTGGTGATATGGCTCAAAATCGTTCTCAGTAGCTGGAGCAGATACATCCACTCCTTGTGATTTATAATATTTTGTGAAATTCTTTTGTTCTTCCATATTACTATTCTTTTTACCTCACATTCTCGTTTATTATCTCTCTTTTTTGAATCTCTCGTTACTCTCTTCTCTTGCTTTGTGTGCTACAAGGAGGGAGTGCGGCAACTCGAACTGCTGCTGCACATCGGTGCAAAGTTCTACGTTGAAAGCAGTCGGTCAGTTAGTCAAGAATTTGAAAGGCATTCGGATCACACTGCATTATATCTACTTGTCACCGCAAATGTTATTCGTGTTACATTTTTGAACTTTTGTTTTTTAACTGTAATTATCCTTTATTACTACTAAATGTAAGTCCAGGTGTGTATAGTTGGTGGTTGCTTTCATTTTTCATGATATGTTGTATGCATAATTCATTGGTTTCCACTTCTTTTTAAAAGGGTTTACCAGTCAGTCGTCAATCAAAACTAGCAGCTCTATTAGTTGGTAATTTGGGTGCAATGATGGATGTATCAGCTTCAGCAAGAAAAAATGCCTGTAGAACACTGACAGCTATGATATTGCAATGTCCTGCTGCCAAGGTAAGAATATGTACACTCTGTTGAGACTAATTATAAACACTTTAAAACCACGTGGAGCCTTATACCAAATATAGTTTGGTATACCTCGGCTGGCTTGGCTGGTTTACTCCTCAGTAAATTTTTTTTAGCTGGTCCTAACTCCAAGAGAAGAGGGGAGGTTGGGCGTGGAACCTGGAGACTTTACCCCGGAAAATCAATCCAATCGCTACAGAAACTTCAAAGCATAACAAAAAATATATAAAATAACAAACTTATTCTTTGCTGAATTCGGAGAGAGGAAATGACGAAGGTCTGGTGTAAGCCTTCGGGAAGCCAATCAGTCTATGTGTGTCTATCTTCTATCCACCAACCATCATTTGGTGTAGGGTGAGAATCTCTCAGTGAGGGGGGGGGAATTTCATCACTCACTGAAAATGCCGATGATCAGTCCTAAATAGGATTAAATGCACATCTTGGTTCCCACCACTAGTCATCATCATCAATCGAAATAACCCCACGTTAATCTTAAGACATCGTCGATGCGTATGTACTCTAGGAGCTGATATGTCAACAGAAATCGGGCTTTTCGATGCAACATAATAGCAATCAGGGGGGTGGGTGGGTGGGTTGACGGAATGAAAATCCAACCTAAAAGCAAATAGATCAAATTACTGAATTATATTATAAAGTTAGCATAAATTTCTTATTACCATTATCATTATTATTATTTATTTATTTTACTTTAGCTTACTGCAAATGAATTACAACAGGTTGTAAATAAAGAGAAAAAACGACTTGAAAGATTAGAAGAAATATTAGGTGAGTTAACCATCTTTTTTGCTTTGAATATCCTTTTTTGTTTCCCTATTATTTCAATGGTATTTTATGCTGGGAGAGATTACTACTATTATATACAGGGCCCCACCTACTGTCGTCTCACTGTAAGTTACTGGTTCCTATGTAACGACAAAAGACAAAGGCCAGACAACAGATCATTTATTGGGAAATCCAGTGATATTTATAGATTTCTATGTACATTATTGTCAGTGGAGAAGCAACATCTTCTGATTGGTTGTTTTCTTGCTGAAGGTTATTCCGTACTGCTTGTGACCGTTTCTCAGAAAGTTAAGCCATATATCTGCGAATCGTATTTGCACACGTTAAGTCTGTTGTGATTGGTTGATGAGTTCCTCAAGGTTAGGCTTTGTTATTGTTTTTTCTCATGACCCCGATTCGGGACGTAACATTGACGTAAATCGTTGTCTACAATTTTGGCTTGCAGCTAGCTCTCACCACACCTATACGTAACACATTTTTTCATAGCATAAAATGCGTCCTAAATTAAGGTACGGTACCGTCAAGTTTGTTTTTTACTTAGTTGTCCGAGCATAAAGTCCTTTATAATTACTTCTAGTCTGACCTGATGTGAGATGTAACAAGGGAGATAGTTCCGTACTAGGAGGGATTCTCAGAGTCTGATAAGATGTTATTCGTCAACTTATTTCATGCGTTCACGTGTCTATCTGTGACAGTCTTAACGAGTTGGCTTAGCGACGCCCTACAACGACAGCTTTTCTAGTGCCTTTTGCAATGTAGCAAAATCTTTTTTAGGTAGCTGAGGGAAGAATAAGCGCAGGGAGGGGGAGCGATAAAGAACAACAAGTAGAGAATACAAGAGTTAACAAATTGTAGAAGTAGAGATCGAGTGATACCAGATGGTTCCAACTTCCTTACCGAAGGAAGTTAAAGAAAATGCCTTCCTAGAAATAATCCAAGATATCTAACAGTTGGCTTAGCTTCCACTCCAGTGCCTCATAAATTTGATCAATAACAGTGCACATACTAAGCTACAATAGTAATAATGTTATTATTATAAAAATACATATTTCATATTGACGCTTTCAACTCTCCACTTATTATCAAGGTTAACAGTAAAAGTGGGGAATCTTTGTCACTGAAATACAGCTGGTACCCAAAAATTGACCAATCCACGGTTCTTTACATATTATGTCATATTACTTGAAATGTTCAGTTTTCAGTTCCTGGAATCTCTGTCTTTAATGTTCCAGGCTATATGACACACTTATTGTGTCATGGATAGTGATACTATCCAGTTGTTCACGCCGTAGTAGATAGCTACCAGGGAATCTAATGGCTAAAAGTCGAATACGTGAGTCAATCATCAGAAGATGTACTATGGCAGTGTTTGACCGTAAGGTGAGTGTCGAGAAAGATCATCACACTAATCAAGGTCTAGTAACTTGAACTCCGGCAGCCGTGTAAGAGCTTACGGACAGTTGTCATCTCAAGAGATGGCTACAAGTGGTGTCCATCAGGAATGCCCACTGTCCCCTTTTCTGTTTAATTTCATCACTGATGTACTAATGGAATTAACTCTAACTGACTTCAGCGACTTAGGTATTGACTTGTTACCAGGACACTGTCTTGTTTACTTAGAGTATGCAGATGATATAGTCGTCCTAGGTTGAAGACGCTGATAAACATCCAAGATGTTCTGAACACCTTGAAGAAAAATATTCGAATTCTAGGCATGCGATTCGCTTCCTGTCAAATGTAAGATGATGCCATAGGACTTGACTGTACGGACTCGTAGCTTGAAGATGGGTAGTGAAGTGTTGGAGCGTGTTGACCACTTCAATTACTTGTGAAGTTGCATCAACCTAAACGGTCTGATCGCTGACGAAATCTCAGCACGGATACAGAAGGCTCGTGTTGCACTTACCAACTTTAGCCATCTCTGGCATAGACTCAATATCCAGATATTGATCAAAAGACGTGTGTACTGCTCACGCAGTTCACCCAGTCCTCCTTTATGGCTGTGACACATGTCCATTGGAAGTAGAAGGCATGAAAAGACTAGTTAGCTGTGTTTGATCATAGGTGTCTCCGTTCTCTCTGTCATGTGTGTGTGTGTGTTAGGTGGTAGTATAATCACGTGATTAGTATTGAGGTTAAGCGTTCGAGTGTTAGGTGAGGAGGGAAAGTCAATCGATGAGTTTGTGGAGCCTCATTGATTGAGATAATTAGGAAATGTTTGAGCCATGTCTAGCTATCGCCTTCCTGGAGAAGCGATGTTAGGTGACATAGGATGGATCAGGTTGGGTGAAAGCTAGTGGTGGTCAAACGAAAACATGGAATCAGTGCATGAAATCTTCTTTTTCTCCCCTCTTGTCTTCCTTTGTGTGCTAAATGGATTATGCCAACTCGAACTGCCGCACTTCTGTGCAGAGTTGTATGCTGAGGCCAGTCAGTCAGTCAATCAGCGAAATCATCAGGAATAAAACTGGCACTGAAACCCATAAACTCACTTCAAAGTAAATAATATGGGTTAAAAGATCCTATGAAACACATTATACAAAATTATGTGGTTTATCTAATATCCCCCGGTGATTATTAGGTGAAAAGCATAAATCGGTGGCATAGCGGTTAGGACGTTCGCCGACCATGCACATGGTCCGGGGTTCGATCCCCGGCCACCGACGCACTCCTTTACCTCGCTAAGCCAGAAATAATGCTGGTGAAGAGGAAAGGTTGGGCATGAGGCTAGCAACCCTATCCTGTAAAATAAACACTGCTACAGAAACTTCAAGCCACTAGCTTGAAGCCCTATGTTCCACTGGGAACGTGAAGGAAAAAAATAAATCACAGAAGTAGTAGTGTGGTGAAAGCTGACTGTTAGCCAAAATTGGTAGACAGCAATTCACGTCAGTGTTGACGTCCCATATCTTGGTCATGAGAAAAAAACAAGAACAAAGACTAACTCAACAACCAATCACAGCAGACTTAGTGTGGGTGGATACGATTAGCAGATGTATCACCGGACTGTCTAAGAAACGGCAACAAAGAAGACAGAATAACCTTCAGCAGGAAAACAACCAATCAGAAGACACTGTTTCTCTGCTAACAATAACGCTAATAATAATGTACATAAAAATATTTAAATATCTCTTAATTTCCTCAATAAACGATCTGTTGTCTAGCCCTTGTCTTCTGTCGTAACAGTATTAGTAGTAGTAGTTAGTAGGCTGGAGTTGGTCAGATTAGGGGAGTACAAAAAACTAGTCTGACCAAACCCTAATAAGATGAAGAGTCTTGAAGTAGGCGTCTTTATGGCACTATGCGCGGTTCCATACAACCATACAATAGAGTGGGGAAAAAATTACAGTAGTAAAGTTTAATGTAACAGGGGGGGAAGCTTTGTTTGAGAACACATGCAACAGGAAAGATGGAAGGGAACGATAAAAATCGAGTTTTGGAGTTGCATAATTGGCATTGATACAATAAGGAAGAATAAATTGTGTTCTAAACGTCATTCAGTCAATTATACTCTTTCACTATATGATATATCCAATAAATATATATTATTGTGTAATACGTGCTACGACATTGTTCGAGATTTATACATATTATTCCGTCTGATTTAATTGAATGGCGACAACGGAACAAAAGAATGTACAAGCTCTTTTTGTACATACACACGCACACACACACAACTGCGTTCTCAAGATACTTTAGTTATAGTGACTTCATTAGAGTGTATAGCAAACAATACGGTTTTGCTTATAAATGAGTAAAATGCAAAATCATACTTGTAGTGTTGTCAATATTTTTATAGTATTAAGAACGGATTCAGATTCTTCACTTGTAAATTACACTATACAGTTGATTTATGCATTACTAATTCACCCTAGATGTTGACCAGAATTCGGATGGTTTGAGCTGATTTGGTTCTCTGAACTGACTCGAACCGTGGGGAACGTCTTCAAAGAGTTCCACCCTAAAACGAGCGAAATGTCAGGCTAACAAGTGCTTTCAAACTAGTCATATCAATCGATATTGTATACCCACATTACAAGTGGAACACAATGCTTCAGAAGCATATCTCCTTTGTATTCTATTCTTCATCTGCAATTATACAACTGCCCACAAGCTTTCATTTCCTCTTCACATGATCCCCTCTATGTCACCCTAGGATGTCTGACTCGTCACTTCCTATTCGTGGTCCACTCGATGGTCTGTCTGGCCTGTCGTGTGTCACTCCTCGGTCTCCTCAGTGTATGTCCAATACATCTCAATTCCCCTCTGCATATTTGTTGCCTGGTTCGTTGCTAGATCTCCTGGTTGCTTAACCTTTATCACTGGCCCTTTTATCTCCAATATGGAACAAAGACAGCTGTTGATGAAAGTTTGTAGCCTTTCTGGAGAGATGCCTTTCGTGCATTGTGCTGCGCCAAGTCTCTGGATCATATAGAAGTACTGACTTGACATTAGCGTTGACATTCAGATCTTTGTCGTCGTCATCATATTGAATAATGTTTTGGTCTTCGCATTTTGCAATCAGGTTTTCGTAGTGTCCTCCGCTTCCCCCGTGTTAACCACCTTTATCCAGCAATACTTTAGTCTTAGATATTTCTTTCAAATTGTGTAAAAAAATCAGTCATCCGATTAAACAAAACAGGCCCAACTGAGTCACTTCTCTCTATGTCTTAGGAACACATAAACTCAATGGGTTCCGAATATCCTATTTTGTATACTTTTGAATCTTGAAGTAGACAGGAAATTGTTGATGTCATTTTTAGTAAAGATGCAAGATGGTTTACATGACTGCCCTATTTTCATTTCATTTGTACACATCTTCCCCATCAGGCTATACTACTGAAAAAATAAATAAGTAATATGATTCGAATTTATATTTTGTCGATGAGTGATTCAGATAGAGAAGTTTTTTTAAGAGACAGAAAGTGTATATGATTTCAGTGATTTAGGTTTCATTGATTTTGAAATGAAATGCTCAGCTCACATCTCACAAAATGTGACAATAGATTATTGAAGGTCCAATTAAGGATGGGTGTGTCGGTGGCACAGCGGTGGAATGCTCGCCAACCATGCAGGTGGTTCGGGGTTCGATCCCCGGCCGACTCACTCCTTTACCTTGCTATGCCAGTAATAAGACTGGTAGAGAGGGAAGGTTAGGCATGAGGCTGGCTACCCGAAAAAATAGACACCACTGCCATCGAAACATCAAAGCTCTAGCTTGAAATCCTATGTTCCACTGGGAACGTAAAGGAATAAAATAAATGACAAAAATAAAATTAAGGATAGCAGACATTGAACAGACAACTTTTGAACTTCTACAGTTAGGTGTCTCTATATACAAAACGGAAGCTGATTAGCTCTGTGAGTTATAAAATACGCAACATTTGCAATCAAGATACCCATGGAAAGGAATCTGAACGCTCTGCAAAAACGTTCTCAATGAAAATTTGAGTTTATTTTGTTTCTGAAATATCACAAAAATACAATTTCCACCTTTCATTCTATCTATTTGCCTGTGCGTGTGTATTCTAATCTCTTTGCTCTCATTGGTTGCTTTTTTTTGGTCTTAATAACTGTCGTTATTCCACTCGCTGATTGGTTGTTTCTTTGTTTTGCTTGGATTATATGTAATAACTAATTAGTTTAACTAGCCGTAATCAACATGATTAATCTGACTGATTACAGTTCGGTGTCTTGTTTTTGTTTATTTTTTTTATTCCTTGCGTTCTGAGTGGAACATAATGCTCCAAGCTCTGAAAATTTAGTAGCTCTGGTGTTGCTTTTAACGCCAAACATTCTCACGCTTCCAGGCTTGCTATTTAACTAGTAAAACAAGCGAGGTTTAGGAGTGGGTAGTTGAACGCGAATCTCTCCTGTGTGATTGGACCATCGACGCAGAAATACGATGTTACTGCCTGACGAATCAATTTTCTTTTCGCTTGCTTTTGCTTTTCGTGTTTTTAGTTTGTACTCATAAACGGTCATTTACATGTCATGAGAATAAAGATTTACTTACCAAACACTGGAAAACAGTGAATTTATGGAAATAAAATCCTTCAGAATAATAGAATCACATAATTGAAGGTGTAATCAGCAAAGAGCACATTGTTTTCATTGTGTTCTACTTTCTTAGCATCAGTGGAAAAGAAATCTCTGTCTTCTAGCTCGGCAGAATATTCTTACTACCTGCCTAGTATTCACTGCAGAATAGTCGCCAACCATGTACGTGGCCTGGCATCTCTCAAGCAGTGGCCACACTCCTGAACCTCGCCTAGTCTACTTGCCGCTATTGAGGCCGAAAAAGTGGGAAGGTTTGCTTTGACACTAACTGCACTACTTCGTAAAAGCTACACAATCTCTGCTAAAACTTAAGGGCTTAAAGCCGTATTTCCCACTCGAAGCACTAGGAAAAAGAACACCTACAATTGTTATTTATAATTGTTTACATGAGTGGTTGAAATTTTTACTTCATATCATCTCAGTGAAATGACATCCCTTAGAAGTGTACTGAACACTGTTAGAACTTCCTGTCTGTCTCTTACTATATATCAGGAATTGGCAGAAGTTAGAATTCATGTGCCATTGAATTTTGTCCCAGTGGCTGTGAATGGTCAACGAGCTTGCCTTGTAACCTGAAGGTGTCCAGTGTTCAATCCCTTGAGGATGGGATCATAGGTACATACACTGATGAGGAGCCCAAACGGGGACGTGGCGGCAGCTGCCCACTACTCCCTCAACAAATGATACTTGTCTTCAGGTTTATCAATGGCTTTTAACGAACACAATATTTATATTCAAACCCCACTTTACTTGTCTTACTCTTCTTTAGCTCTAGTGTTCGACTCATAGAATAATAGATAAAGGTTGGGATTCCCCACCCCCACCCCGTCTTTCATTAGCCAATTTTAACCGCTTGTTTGCTTACTTGCTAGCTAGCTAGCCTGCTTGCTTGCTTGCTTGTTTGTTTGTCGACTGAATTTCTCTTCTTACATAACTTTGTCATTATTATCTTTCTTCTTACTCTAGCTCAACATCGTAAATCTGTTAGTAAGCGAAAAACCGCTAAACAGGGTAATTATTGTTTCTTCATTCATCTGTAGTATACAGATGTGTATGTGAATGTGAATGCCTGTTTGTCTGTCTATCTATCTATCTATTTATCTATCTGTTTGTCTGTCTGTCTAGCTGTCTATCTGTCTGTCTGTAATAATCTGTGTTACGATTAGTTTGTGTCATATTGCATAATATTTCATTTGCTTTTTCGCAATGATGATTATTATTATTTGTCAACCATAGACAAAAAGCAAAGAGATCATATATGCTTCGCATCTTTTTTTTAAAAAAGAATATTTTTTTAAATTTCTCCTCACTGTTGTCAGCATCTTCATCATTGTCATCATATTATTATTATTAAGTAACGTTGATCACCATTCACTTTGCTTATCTCTCTCTCTATAAATATATATCTGTATATATGTGCTGTTTGCATTTTCTTTTTTTTTTCTAAAAATGTCTTCTCACAGCATGTTCACTATCATCAATTTTTTATTTCTGCATAAATATAATGGTAGCAATAGTTTTAGTAGTAGTAGTAGTAATAGTAATGATGATAATAATTAACTGATGTTACTGCTTTATGTGTGTATGTGTGTGGGTGGGTGGCTATTATCGAAAACTAAGTTGTGTATTTGCTGTCTGTTATTTCAGTAATCTTAATCCTAATAATAGTGATATAATCATAAAGGAAAATATACAATTTTTGTATTCATCAATTGTATTTAACTTGTTTTGTTCCTCTCTCTCTCCCCACTCCCCCCGCTTTTTAATCACACACAGCCAGGGTAAACACAATTGATGAGAATGATGGTGTTACACCCAGTGATCTTACTGAACAATTGACAGCTCTTACTGATGATGGAGATGGGGTCGGGAATGATGATGGTGAAGCTAAAGGCAAAAATAAATCTAAAATACAAAAGAAGACGAAGAAGAAAGGGGGGTCGAACAATAAGAAGCATAAAAAGAATAAGAAATCTAAACTTACAGGTTTAAGTGATTCAGATGATGAATCACCAACGCGTCGAACTAAATCATCATCATCACGCCGTCGATCAAATATAGCTGATGATGATGAAGGAGGAGCCTGAAGGCGATGATGTTGATATGGATGATGATGATGACGGCGAAGAAGGAGAAGAAGAGGAAACAGCTGATGAAGGCAGTGAAGACAGTGATGAAGAGGCGGATGATGCCGATGTTACACTATGCCCTACAGCAGAGGTAGACGCAGCAGCAGCATTAGAAAAAGCTATTCATTCAGCAGCTGCTGTTGCTGAAGGGAATATAAATTCACATAAAAACAATACCAATAATAATAACAACAATAATAATAATGATGCTAATAATGTAGAGGATAATGATATCCTTTCAATGTCTCAATTATGCCTGGCCAGTGTTGCACAAACAGAAATCTCCTCTGAAGTAGTACGTCAACGTGCTTGTATTGCATATCTCTTAGAAACATCAACATTTTTATCACATATTCAAACTGCTATCAAAGATTTTCAAGCTATGCTATCGTCAAAAACACTAACAGATGTAACAGAAGCGATTGAATTCTTTGTTGTGGCTAAACAAGCTGGAATAAAAGGTTTAGAACAGGGCATTCGTTTATTATTGGCATTGATTTGGTCCCAGGAAGAAGGTATACGCAAAGCTGTTGTAGAAGCATGTCAGTAAGTGTATTGGTTTTTGTTGTTGTCAAGATTGGGCTTTTTTGCAATTTAAAATGTCATTGTTTAGCATCGGTTCATATATTACCTGCAAAGAAAGTCATTTACTCTCACGAACGTGCAGACACACACGCGCGCGCTTGATGTGATCATGATCAACCAATTGTGTTGTTGAAGCATTAATGACTTTGAATGGTTTTACTGTATCTCTAGTAGAAGAACTTTGACTGATATCGAATGCAAAAGAAACATGGAGCAATGACTTCCTCATCCTACTCTACTGTTACATATGCATTATTATTATTCCCTTGGGTTCCGACGGGAGAATAAGACTTCAACTACACAACGCCATTTTGTCGTAATCTCTACGGTCCACTTTATCTGACCCCATTATTGCTCATTGTCCCTCATCTCCTGTCTGCATGATCTCCTTCATGTCACCCTTGAACCCAAGCTTGAATCTCATTCGAGTTCCACTCAAGCGATGTCCTGCATTGCGCGCGATTTCATTCCTTGGTCCCTTCAGCGTGTGTTCGATCCATCTTCATTTTCCTAGGAATATTTGTTGACTATTGGTTCTTGGTGTTGGTTCGTTGCCTGGCAGAGTTCCTTGTTCATTATTCTTTCTGACCACCACTTCTGATGAAAGTTTTGCTACCTGTTAGAAACGCTTTCTGTGACGCGCACGCTAAGTTTCTGACTCATATAGAAGAACTAACTGACTTAACTGACTTGGTGTTGAAAATCCGAATTTTGTTCTTTACGATTGAGTATAGAAGTTTTCCAAACTGATTTCAGAGTGATGAAGGTATACCTTGCCTTCCCATCCTCATTTGTGCCTCCTGTAGTTGAGATGGTGATGGCGTAGATGAGTGAAGGAAGTGACCCCTCTCAAATTTCTCCCGTTGATAGTGATTGGTGCTTGTTGTCGTTGGTCGCTAGGTTTCCTTCATCACCTCTGTCTTCTTTTTGTTTCAGTTGAAGTTGTTATATACACCTACTTTTGCCTATTTTTGCCTACAACTGTGAGATAACTATTTTAAGGAGTTATCGCGCACTGACGTGAGCCCTTTGTTTTTCCCTCTGTTTGGGTTGCTGAATTTCTATTGGCTGTCAATACTTTTGTGCATCACTGAATTACTGCATTCTCAAGGTCACGCTAATCGTATATACAGAGAGTTTCTGTCCAGCATTGTGGCTGGATATGATATGATATGATTATGAGTGGCAATAGTTTGTGCTCGATAAATGGTCATCAGTAAATATTACTGTATAACCCTGTGTGATTTATCAAAATAAAATCTTATCCATACTGGAGTTATACTCTACTACAGTGCCCAAGTTTTATACTTACAAGATTGTGGCTGCTGTTTGAGACAGTAAAAACTCTGTAATCGACGTCCAGTCTTTTCTTTTGTTTTTGTGTACCGGCGATGTTGTTTTTTTAATTGTTGTTGACGTGCAATTAGGACAGATTAGCCAGCGCATTAAGTTAGTATTCGCTCATGGTATACTAGATTGTAGTTCCGGTCACAACAGAAGTCCTGTTTTTGTTGCTTCTTCTGCTAGTTTTTGGTTTTCGCCTGTAGGTCTTGGAGTTTGCATGACGTTAGACACAAATCATCCGCAAGATTCAAGATCTTCTAGACTTTTCTTTTCGGCTCAATGTCTTCTTGCTCCCCACGCGCACAGTGTACCGCATAATCCTGTCCATCATAATAACGAATATCATTGGTGATAATAGTTGGCGACCTTGTTATACTCCTGTATTCACTCAAAAGGCTTCTTCGATGAGTTTTCTGTTGTACTTCACCTGAGATGTGGCATTGTCATATAGCTGTTCAGTAAGGTGATTAAAGCTTTGGGGCACGTCATAGCGTTGGAGTAGTTTCCGAATTATTTCACAGTCAACGCTGTCGAAGGACTTTTTTCAAAGTCAATGAAGTTGAGGTAGTGGTTTGACTGCCATAATACATAACATTATTTAAAGAGTAATTGTTATTGAAAACACTTATGGTTTGTTTAAATAAAAGTGAGTTGTTAAGATCAATAGAATTTCAGTTCAAAAGCGTATCTAAGTAGTAATAAGCTTAAAAATATGAAAACAAACTGAATAGCAGGTGAAATACAGAAGGAAATTCATGCGACAGTTAAAGATATAGCTAAAAGGCGTAAGGGGAGTGAAGAAGTTGTCGAATTGTTTTAGTCAAGTTATCAAGACCAAAAAAAGGAAAGCGTCCGTACGAACTTCTGAATGCACATAAGTTTGACTTCTTTAAATGGATTCCAATAACTTCAGCTGACGTGTAGAAGAGATGAACTCGGAAGGCAAAATTAGGATTAATCAGAATACGGTAGATAACTTCAAATGTTCAGTATCTACAGCGTGGGCTAAAACAGAACTATGAACAGATCTTGTTTCTCTCTTGCTTAGCAACACTGAATGATGTTCAGATGTCCGTCCTATGGTGAACATATCTAATTGTACTACACCCAATGTAATTGACTCGGCAAGAGCAGTTTAACTGACAAGATATACATAGATGAGGCGAAATGAAGAAGTTTATCCTTATATCCCTAATTTATAGTTCGACAGTGGTTATGTAGAGACAGCATACCTCTGCTGCACTCAATACTCTTTTTACTACAGTCTTCAGTGTGATGTTATTATCCCACTGCTGTTTTCACCAAAGAACTACATTTTTAAGACCGAATGGGTTATTTGGAGCTGTTGGCATACTATAATTGTAGAGCCAGATAAGGAAGTCATCGAAGAGAATATTCTTCGCCTCATCTTTCTTTTTTGCTTGTCTTCTAAATGCGAATTTCCTCTATATTGTGATATTGAATAGAAAAGAGTTGTATGTGACTTATTCTTTCTTATGCACACCCTTCCTGGTATTCCCACTTACTTTATCCTCAACAGTACAGTTGAGGGTTGTGGTGATGAAAGAGAGTTCATTGTTTACAGGATTTCATCATGAGCTGACAGTGGTTCGAGAACCATTGGAAAACCTGGGAGTACTGGACAGCTGTTTCGTCCTAGTTTGGGACTCTCCACAGAACGGGGTCCGAACCCAGGACCTTCTGGTTACAAGGCGAGTTCATATGCCATTAAGCCACTGGGACCCGATCCAGTGGCCAGTCCATGAATTCTAACTTCTGCCAATTCACGATATAGCGCAACCGCTAGCCAATGTCTTCGGCGAGTTCATTGTGTCGCGTTGTTTTTTTCTAAAGCTTGATAGAGTTGTATAAATGGTTTGTCAATTAAAAAAAAAACAGTCGATAACATAGGTCTTGTTACGCAAGCAAGAAATCATTTGTTACATCATTAAGACAAGTAGTTAAATTACTCTTTGATTACGATACCCACCTTATAGCTTACTTCTTTTTGAATTGATTACTGAATATATATGAGATGCACAAATTGTGGTTTGTAGTTTGGGTTCATTCCATGCCTAGAACTACAGAAATTCATTTCTTTGGAGTTAGTTTATGTATGCAACAAGATACAGACTTTTATCAATAGCTGGCTCCATACTCAAGATCAAATGGCTGCTCCGAAAGAATTATCAACAAGAAACTGTGATAACAAACCAACCAAGAGCCGATTGCTTAACAAATATATAGGAGAAAATGGAGATGGATCGGGCGTACGTTAAGGAGGCCGTCAAATGACATCGCGCGCCAGATCCTCGAATGGAATCCCAATGGAAAGTGACGAGTGGGTCGTCAGTGTGACGGTGACATGGATGAGATCGTGTGAATTGGAGGAGGAGATGAGAGATTATGGGCAATCTTGATGTCCAGTCAGTATCGACGAGATGAGCTAGTATTGCGAAACGAAAATCGGAGGTGTTTAGAAATTCGATGATGGACGTCGACGTATTGTTCCGTCTGTTCGTTTAGTCATTATTATTATTGTTTCCTTTAATTCCTACAGGAACATAGGGCTTCAGCCGTGCGTCTCCATTGAGTTCGGTTCTCTGCTAGAGTCTTCACCTGGCTCCATGTCTGCCCACACGTTTTCATCTCCCCTTCACATGACCTCCTCCAAGTCATCCTTGCACTGACGACCAACTCGCCGCTTCCCTTTCAGGTTCCACTCTAGCGATGGCTTGTCTAGTGATGTCACTTGATGGTTTCCTCAGAGTATGACCAATCCATCTCCATTTCTTCTTGCGTATTTGTTTCACAATCGGTTCTTGGTTGGTTCGCATTGTAGGACCTACAGGAACATAAGTTCCAGCCAGTGTAGCTCGTTGGATCATTGCGATATGCAAGCTCGACCACCACGTCAAGGTAGCAACTATCGGTCGGGTGAAAAGGGAGATAGAGTCATTTTCTTCCTCTTCTTTAGTGAAGCTTACGCCAAGATGTGCTCTATTGAATTTATCCAATTCGTCATTAGCCTCACTTTCTTTCTTCACAACTATGAATATATCATCGACATATCGGTAATAGAAATCAGGATTATATATTACATCCTTAAGAGGACCATTCTGTAGTTTCGCCAGGAAAAAATCTAATAGGATTGGGCCTAGTGGTGATCCACATAGCAACACCATTTTTTATTGAACAGGAAGTTTACGTTCATTGTACACCTCAGAAGAAGTTATTTTAGGGGAGACACAGGAATTCCAGTGTCTACACTTTGCTTTATCAATTCACATTACCTATGTAATCAACTATTTCAATCAAAGGCACATTGGTGAATAAGGAAGATACATCCAGTGATAGCATGTATTTATCCTTCACATTTAATTCCTTGATTCTTTCTACAAATTCAAAACTATCTTTTACGCTATTTTTCACAAGTTTCTTATGCAATGGCTGTAAAAGTTCCACCAGCCATTTCTCTGTTGAATGGTATAGTGAGCTAGAAATATCGGGGACTGGCATAAATGGCCAGCCGTATTTGTGAATCTCTGGTAAGCTGTATAACCTGGGTGTGTGGCGACAGGTTTTAGTGTTTCACTCAAGGCTGGTGAAATACGACCTTCTTATTTCGACTTCTCTCTGTCCTCCCCATTGTATCCTAGTTAGTTGATAGATTCTGAAGTCGTCTATATGCATCACTTTTATTGTCGTTGAAATCTTTAGGAAAAATAAAAATAAGAAAACAGCCAAACGTTCATTATTTAACTTACCCTCCTTATCTCTTATATTTATTTTTGCTAGAAAATTATATTTACAACCAGATTCAGAAGAATTTTATCAACCGAATGGTAATTTAACAATTGAAGGTGCTGATTTAATTGCAACAAATTTAAGCAATTTTATACGTAATTCAGAAATGGGTGATTTAGTCAGTATGGAACGTGTTATTCAACAATTAATTTCTTCTGATCAATTGGATACTACGCTGATTGATTATCTATGGCAAAGATTTATTAAATCAGCTAGTGGTAAAGATAAAGAAAGCTCAGAAGATGCTAAATCTATGCTAATTATTATTAAAATGATTGTAAAGTAAGTAATTGATTATTATGATTTTAATCTTGTTGACACAATGTTCACTTCCTCATAATAATAATAATAATACGGTTTACTTATTTAATTCAGTGTGCGTCGGTGGCACAGCGGTTGGGACTCTCGCCGACCATGCAGATGGTCCGGGATTCGATCCCCTACCGACGCACACCTGATATCAATTGGTCGGCCTGCAAAATTTGGGCTACCGATATCACATGCTGAAAATTCCATACTTGTACCAAAAGTACTGTGTGGAATCAAGCTATAATCAAAAAAAAAATTCACTGATTGAGACGTCTAGGACATTTTTCACGTATGCCAAGTCATCTCCTTGGTCGTCGACTAGTGTTAGCTGTATTGGGAAGCAGTGAATGTGTCCGACCAAACTATGGCATCAATCTATGAGATTGTCAAGTTTCGGTGTGCAAAGATTTCATCGACTACATGTTTGATCATGTTTGAGGTGAAATCAGCTGAAGAAGCATGTGAAATCACAGAGTAGTGGTCAGCTGTTTCGTCCTAGTTTAGGACAGCGGGGTCCATCAAGTCAGACAAGAGAACGGTAACTCGCCTATGCTAAATATTACCAATACGCAGAAGTTGGAATTTATGGGCCACTGGATTGATTCCCAATGACTGAATGGTCTACAAGCTCGCCTTGTAACCGGAAGATCCTAGAGTTTGAACCTCAGTGAGTGGGTACTATCGAAGAGTCGCAAACTAAGAAGAAATCATTGTCCATAAATCTTCAGTTTCTAGTGTTTCGCTAGCTGATGTCAGCTAGTTATGAAACCTGGTTTGGACCACGTTTGGAGGTGTAAACGACGTGGCCGGCGGTCTTGAGAAGCTAACAACCAACAGCTAGAAACTATGGAGTTACTATATAACGTGACCTATTTTTTCCCATATGTTTGCAACTTTTTTACATATAGTCTAATGTTATACTTGATCACAGATTTCTGGGTAAGAAAGCTAAATCAGTCGGATTCAGAAGTCTGAGACATAATATTACACATGCCGCATCATCCACAGGCTTGTTTGACGGGAAATGTTACCTGACGTCTAAGATGTACTCAGGAAATGTTTATCGGTTGATCAGATTACCCCATCGCATCATCATTTCATAAAGACCATGATTGTTGCTCAGCTCTGTGTACAAAAATTTTGGTTGTTTACATTCAGTCTTCGTTGCAGACTCTCACACATGGATTAAATTCATTGAAAATAATACCAATATAATTACTTCTGCAGTAGAACACCACAGACACTAATACATCAAGCACTCTCGGATAAAATGTGAAAAGCAGAACACAGACTCGGCGCGAAACACTTTACAATTACCGACCGTCTCAATAGAAGAAGAAAGCAAAAGTTATACACACAAAAAAGAGTTGGGCGGCTATCACTGTCCAGCGACCACCGGCCTCTCAACTAACGCCTCCTTCCGAATTCGAACCACTACACGACCCCCTCGCTTACGAAAAGCCGTCCTCAGTGACTTCTGACTTGCGCTCTCCCGCCGTCTCATCATCCTTGCAAGAGAAAGAGACACGTGGTTATTGTGACTATCAATATAAGGAGGATTGATCCTCGGCGCCTGTCTCCTTCTTCTGAACCGTTTCAAACAGTTGAAGTGTACTATCAATCTCTGCGTATTGTTGTTGTTGTTTTCTTGTATCTCGTATGCATTGTTAGTCACTCTGCGGTACACCACATATAGACCTTGCCCACTGTGCTTGAGCTTTATTTCGGTCCTGGTTGACGCAGCCACACTTTATCACCTGTATCGAATGGTGTTCCCCATTGCTTCTTACCACAGTAATATTTCTGCCGTTGTTGTGCTCTCTCGAGCTGTGGTTCTTCACTTCCTAATTCCAAATAGGTGACACAACTCTCTAACCAAGAGACTTTCGAAGTTTGTTCCTTGATCAGAATGCAGTTGCTCTGGTGCACCCCAACGGGCAATCCAACAATCGAACATAGCCTTGGCTACCGTAGAAACATCAGTTCGCTGATTGGATACAGCTTCACACCATTTCGCAAAATAATTCATCATGACTAAGATGTATTTGTTCCCACGCGTGGTCTCTTGTAACGGTCCTATGATGTCCACGCCGATTACTTCGTTAGGATATCCAGCCTTCATATGTGTAAGTGGCGCTCTAGGTTTCCTCTGTGAGTTCTTCACCTTACCACATATTGTACACCCCTAGACAAATTCTCAGACATCGCGCCACTGCCAAGGCGACCAATAACATTGGGCGACTGCTTGCAGCATTTTGTTAATTCCAGTGTGTCCCAAGTCATAATGTACCTTTTCCAGAATGTCTGTTACGGACGATTGTGGGACTACAACTCTTCCCAAGTAATTGAGTCCAGGTTGAACACACAAAATACCATTCACAAGCACTAGCTGGTCCAATAAGGCCCACAAACATCTCTTCTAAATTTCCCCTTCCACGTCAGCTTCGACTGGTCTTCCAATCTGATTCGACAAGGCTTGACGTAGGAGTGCAGTCTCACCGTCTGTAGCCTGGACATGTGCCCACTGTTCTCTACTTAAGCCTACCAACGAAATAGCATAAATATCAATTATCCCGCAGGACGGGTAGTTTCTGCGTAGTCTGAAGGAACGTCTGGATAACGCATCATCATTGGCATTTTGCTTGCCATTCAAAATTGTATTCCTGCTATCTCGCGATCTGTCCTTCAGGGATTTTGAAGTTTTGCAACCACTGAAGGGCTTTGTGATCCGTTCCCTGCACAAAACGGTTTACCAAGTAAATAAGATCGATATTTGCGAATGAAGGTAACAGCGACCAACATCTCTTTCCTAGTGATGCAGTAGTTCTTTTCTGCACGGCTTAATGCGTTTGGCTGCAGTATTCTATAACATGTTCTTTCCCGTCTCCACCAACCTGGGATAATACGGCTCTAATAGATGTGTGGCTAGCGTCGTGTCCAAGATGTACCTACTGGCTGTTGTGGAGACGTATCTAGGAATGCTAAAGTAGGCGCCGAGCATAACGAAGCTTTCAAATGCTGAAAAGCCTGGCCACAATCCTCCATCCATACAAAGGAAGGCAACTCTAAAGAATAGCAGCCCAAACCCAGACGACCTAGCGAACACACAAATGACCTTGTCAAGGACAACTTCGACCAATCAGAAGGCTAAGAAAACGAAGCATAATTGTAAAAAATCGTTTATATAAAAGTAATGCAATGTTAAAAAATAGTTACAAAGGATAACGTTCTCGTATATGTTGCAAAAAATGCTCCCAGTTTCTCATAGGAGTCTTCATACTCATGTTAAACCAACTTCTGTACATAAACTCATCCAGATAACTGTATATCATTGGATTTATTGATCCATCTAATCCGTTTTTTTAGGTGACTCCAGAAACTTTCGATGGAATTAGTATGAGTTCCATCCAAAGGATTGCGAAAACCGTTTGTATGGTTGACTACATGATGAGTATACCCGAGATTCGACAATTGACCGTAACTACTCCATTCATGTGTGTGAATAGTGGTCCCAGGCAGCCCTAAGCACCGGGTAATAGGCAATAATACACCTGCACTGCGATTAGGAGGGGTGTCATAGATACGCAATATCCATTGCTGGTTTGCTCGTAATCTGCCGCGGTTATATTTCCTTTTTATTAATACGGTCTCATCAGTTTGAATGATTACGCCAACTCCTCCAAGAACTTGAGTTCGCGTGTTCATATCCCAGGACGATGCGTCTCTGCAGTACTGGTACCATTGCACTGCAGATATTTCCGAATTTCCTGTCTCATAAGCTATTGCTGTAACTGGTCTGTTCAGTATCCAGAAATTACAGATCACTAAAATTTTTGTAAACGGTAATTTAGACTTTGAGAAAAAAGTGCCTACGGAATCTGTAAACTAAAAAAGAACGACACACCCTCTCGAACTGATTTTCTGCCTCGGCACTCACTAAATCTGTAGAGAAACCGAGAAATGCAGTTTGTATATTTTCGTATACATGTCATGTCATATGAAAAATGATGCTACAGGACTGTACTACGTTGACACGTCGCATAAAGATATGGAGTGAAGTGGTCGTTGAAGCGTGTTGACCACTGCACTTATTTGGGAATAGTTGCCTCAGCCACAATGGACTGATTATTGACGGAATCTCAGCACAGATATAAAGGATTCCTGTGGCCTGTGTCAATCCGCGTCATCTCTGTCGTAAACGTGATGTCTATTTATCGACCAAAGGACGTGTGTAGTGTTTACCATTTCTCGCTGTCCTCCTCCCATGACTGCAATACATGGCCGTTGTGAAAGATATGGAAAGGTTAGATATCTTTCACGAGATATTTGCACTCCATCCGCCGTGTATAATCGGGCGAGAAATATTGAGGCTGGCTGGCTATCGAGTGTTAGGTAAGGAGGAAAAGTCAATCGTCAAGGTTGTGAAGCTACATCGATTGAGATGGCTCATTCAGAGCTGTCGCCTTCCTCGACGAGTGATGTGTGTCTAGCCTTCTTGTTATATGTCATTATAAAAAGCTGATGATGAAAATCACTTCAGGTGTGTTATCTCTTCTCACGAGACATTTTTCGACTCCATTTAATTATTGGATATCATACCGTTTTTGTGTGGTGGCGGTACAGTGGTAGAATGCTCGCTAGCATGGTCCAGGTTCAATTATCGACTGACTCACTGTTGAAATCCTTGCTTAGTCCATTAATGAACCCGCTAAAGACGGGAGGTTGGACATGAGGCTAATGTTATGGTGCGACCGAGTGTAAATATGAGCTAATAAAAATATAATGGACGATTACGTACAGACTGGTATTGCTGAGTAGTTAATTTGTCCTGACGCGAAGGACCACCACGTTGACAAATGGATACGAGTATTTCCAACAAGGAAAATTAACTGTCACACAAGAGTGTGAGTGGAAAAGTACGAAAGAGTCAATTAACTGTACAATACAAGAGTATATATGAAAATAACTGACATACATGAACCAATAAGACAGATGGTAGTTTTTCTCACCACCATTGGATTCTGATTGGTTGTAATGTCATGTGACAAAGGTCATCATTGATGCAACAAGGGTGATTCAGCACAACTATCAACAACTTGGAATATAATTCTGAATACAAAAAGCATGAATAAGCGAAAAAAATAAAATGAATTATATATATATATATATATATATATATACGAGTTGATCACGGACTGATATCAGTTAGAGAACCGTTGAAAACCAGGGAGTACTGGACAGCTGCTGTTTCATCCTAGTTTGGGAATCATCGGCAGTACGCACCCACTGGGATTCGAACCCAGGACCTTCCGGTTACAAGACAAGCTCGTATACCATTCAGCCACTGGGACCCGATTCAGTGGCTCATGAATTCTAACTTCTACCAATTCGTGATTTAGCGCGACCCCAACCATTGTCGTTGGTGGGACATCCATCCACACACGTGACATCTAATTGGACCTCACTGGTCACGACTTCTCACTAGAACTCCAGGAAACTCCATCTTGTAGCAAGTCACTAGCGAGCATCAGATTAATTTTCTATAGTTTGGTTTGTAGGGGTTTGTTATATTTTTACGAGTTGATCACGGACTGATATCAGTTAGAGAACCATTGAAAACCAGCACTGGAGTACTGGACAGCTGCTGTTTCATCCTAGTTTGGGAATCATCGGCAGTACGCACCCACTGGGATTCGAACCCAGGACCTTCCGGTTACAAGGCAAGCTCGTATATATTTCAATAGTTTACACACAATGATAAGTTTTGTTATTGGTAATATTTCGAGCAAAATTACTGCCCGTGTTCACACCACTGTTGGAATTGTTTTGTTCACATATTTATGATTTGTATTCATATATACAGTTCACTTTGTTTTGCTCATTCATGTTTCTTTTTTGTATTGAGAATTATATTCCAAGTTGTTGATAGTTATACTGAGTCACCCTTGTTGCATGTATCCGGTGTGACTTTAATGAATATAGATTCTGTGATAAGTCACTCTTTCCATTTGTTCATGTTAGTTTTTAGAATACACATATTGTTCCAATCGATATTGTGGTTTTTGTCCTATGCATGTGCAGCTATCGATGAATATTTTTCAAGATTTTTGTAGGCTTGTGTTCCTGTCGGTTGACCTTTGGTTAGGCGTTTATGTTCATTCACTCTTATTTTGAGTGATCTGGACGTTTGCCCCACATATTTAGTCCGACAGTCAGCACAAGATATTTTGTAAATCAAATTGTTTTTATCCATCATTTTTATGGGATCTTTCAGTTGATTTATTTTATTTTTGATTAGATTCGTCGGTTTAAACGTTGTGCGAATGCCGATATTTTTGAGGTTTCTTTGAATTGCCTCTGATGTACCATTTTTATATGGTATTGTGACTGTGTTTTTTCATTCTTCCATCTTGTTATTCTCCGGTTTTACCCTCTTTTTTCTCTTTTTTATACTATCCCTGATAAATTCTTTTGGGTAGTTGTTTTCGAGTAGCATTTTGAATAGAACGTTTATTTCTTTACACTGGTCCTCTGGTGTTTTTGTAAGTCTACGTATTCTATCTGCAAGACCTTGTATTAATCCTCGTTTCACCGTGAGTGGATGAGCTGAGTGATAATCAAGGAATCTTCCAGAGTGTGTGGTTTTTCTATACAGCGTTGTTTTTATGCTACCATCTGTTATTCTTTGTATTTTGCAGTCTAACATAGGCAGTTCCCCAATTTCATTCTCTATTTCCATAGTGAATTTTATTGAGTCGACATAGCTGTTTATGTGTGAGAAGAGTTTCTCAATATATCGTTTTTTTTCACTATTACTAGTGTATCGTCTACATATCTCCACCAACATTTTAGTGATGACCTGAATGGTTTAAGGGCATTCTCTTCCCAATAATCCATGAATATGTCAGCTATAATTGGTGAGATAGGCGATCCCATGGCTACTCCTTCATTTTGTTGGTATATTTTTGTATATTGTTGTTGGTATATTGTTGTCAAACAGAATTCCATCCCTTTTATTATCTCTTCTACGGATAACTGTGTTCTATCTTTTAGGCCATTATCTTCTTTTAGTTTCTCTTTCAGTGCATTCATGGCCATTTGAATGGGTATTTTCGTATAGAGACTGTTCGCATCAAAGCTGATTAGTATTTCTTCTTCCTCTATTTTAGTGGTTTCTAGTCGCCTCACTGATTCAAATGAATCTACTATTCTAGCTTTTGAGTTGTCTCTTGTCGGTCTTAGTATTATCGAGAGAAATCTTGACAGCATACACGTTGGTGTGTTTCTAAAGTCTACAATCGGTCTTATTGGATATCCTTCTTTATGCAATTTCATCTTGCCATATATCCTAGTTATATTACATGACTTTGGCACAGTTTCAAATCATTTTGACTTACCAATTATTTCTTTCATCTGTCTAACTACCTTTGCTGTTTCTTTCATTGTTTTGTTTGTGATTGTTTCTGCTAATTTCGTCATTAGAGTATAGGGTGCAGATTGTAAATGTTCATTCATCTTTTCATTATATGTTGTCTTGTTAAGTATTACTGTTGTGTTTCTTTTGTCTGCTTGAGTAATGACAATGGATTTGTCTGCTTTTATGTCTTGGAGTGCTTTTAGTTCCTCCTTCGTTACATTTAGTTTTTCTGCTTTTTTAAGGTTAATGCACATTGTGCTCGTACCAGTTCTGCTTCTTGCTTGTCATGTCCTACGAGTGCTGTTTCAATTACAGGTATAATATCTTCAGGTTTTAATCTTTTGTTGCTAATATTGAAGTTCATCCCTTTCATCAGTACGATTTCCTCTGGTGCTTCTGTTAGCTTTCTATCTGACATGTTTACAATCCAATTGGCTTTAGTTACTTGTCTGTCATTCGGGGTTTTTGCCATCATGAGTTTATTAAATTTTTTTATTTGTTTCTTCATAGGTAGTTTCTTTTCGTTTTAGTGCAACTTCTAGTACGCTTTCGTACTTTTCCTTTTCAATTGCTCCTTTCAATTTTTCTTTTGCTTCATTAATATCCTTCCTTATTGTGAATAGCTTTGCGTATAATTCCACGCAGGGTTTTCTTTGATGCATATTTTTGAGGCATGTGTGAGCGCTGCATTTGCTTTATCAGTAGACATCGGTGATTTTAGCCTCATGTATACAGGAATAATTCCATTTTTTAAGCATCTGATGTTGAAAATTCGATGGTTCATAAATCGAGATTCAGCTTGATATAATAAATGTGTGAGTTTGTTGGCCAGTCTTTTAATGGGAAGACCGTCAGTTGAATTAATATCAGTAACAATATATATATATATATATATATATATGAGTACAAATCATAAATGTGTAAATAAAACAATTCCAGCAGTATTTAATTGGTGGATGGTGACTAGCAGTGGAATCCAGGATGCGCATTTCGTCTTATTTGGGACTAGTCATCTGGATGTACCTGTGAATACGGGCAGTAATTTTGCTCGAAATATTACCAATAACAAAACTTATCATTGTGTGTAAACTAATGAAATATAATTCTCCTCTATTTGATCTAATCCACAATGCTCAAACTTTTTACTGATATTAATTTCATCATTGTTTATTTAGTTAATAAACAGACGAGATATATTGTGTTATAATAGACACTAACGACCAATAGACATTATAGCAAAATATATCAGACTGTCAAAACAAAGCAGACATCATGTGACTACATATCACCTCCCCTTTTGAGAAGATTGATGATTAGTAGCGCACTTTCTTAGGGTTTATCTGCGTTGCGTTTGCTGTCGATGTCTATTGCTTCGTCTGCTTTGTCAGGCGTTGTTTGAGCTGTGCAATTTTGCTTTTCTGTTTTGTCTGTTGTGGGTAGGTTAAAAGTGTCCAGGAGTGTATATCCAGAGGTAGAGTTGACTTTGTACTTGTAGGAATATCTGAGCTTCTTGGACGCAACTGATTGTAATGATGGGTCCATAAATCATTACCAACTTTCACGTCGTAAATAACTCGACCACGTCGTGCTGCAATGTGACCTTTATTCCAAGGTTTATGTCCTACTCGATAGTCGCGGACATAGACAGCGTCACCAACATCAAATTTTCTCTCATTTCGAATTGATGCGTCGGCACGTTTGGGTGCCGGTGGTAAAATGAAGCTGTGAATCGTTCTTAGTTTGCGTCTGTAAAGAACTTCTGGCGATTTTTTGTTCGGTGTTGACTCATTCGCCGTTGTGCGATACACCATCAAGAATTTTGGATGATGTCAAATGGTGTTCCCTCTCCCTCTGCTTTGAGTAGAGCTCCCTTCAAGATGTCGGCAAAACGTTCCACTTGACCGTTTGAGGATGATACGGCGGTGAGAACAAGTGCTTGATAGCGTTTTGACTACAGTACTGCTGAAATCGATGAGAAGTAAACTACGAACCGTTGTCTGTAACTATGGTTTCTGGTAGACCATGATGGGAGAATACGTCAGTCAGAGCTTTGAGAGTCTGCGAGTTGTTGGTGAAACTTCAGAGGTCGAGCTTTTGGGCTAAGTTATCATTATGATCTGAAACTGGTGGGAGATACAAATTCCTAGTCGTTGACTGTTGGAAACATGGTAAATGGATAATGCATCATTGGGTCTTTTTCCCCACTATATTATCATTATTATATGTGATGAATATTCATTTCTTCTCTTTTTTCTCCCCTTTTTATTTAGACCTGGTCCTAAAGAGATTGATAATTATCTTGATACCCTTATACGTTATGGACTTGAACCTACTGAATCATGTCCTATTGATTTAGAACGGGTTAAATTCACATGTGAAGTACTTGAACGAATGGTTCCACCTCTTAAGGTATTATTTATTATTATTATTATTCACTATTGTTGTTGTTATTGTTCACTGTAAAGAGTTAGAGATTTTGACTTGTTGGTCTCTAAGTGTTTCACTTCTCCAAGCATTGGGTTCTGGGTTCGAATCCTGTGTCACCTACTGTTTCAGCTATCTTCCTACGATAGAAGTGTCGCTCACAGTCTGATATATATGCGAAATCTCTTCTGTAAACTGAGGTTAAAGACAAACACAACACTACTGAAGCTGCAGTTGTTATTGTTGTTGTTTTTTATCTCTCAAGGACAAAAAAAGTCCCAGTGTGTGGATACAAAAGACTTGTCTGGTTTTCACTAATCTGCTCTACTTATACTCTTATCCTAATATCAGTAGCATTTGGTATGTTATATGATATTACTATTAGTCCCATCCAATAGGGATGAAATATCAGTGTCTATAGTGGGGGGGAGGGGGAAATACTGGTAATCTGTCCACATATTTCTAAACATAAGTTCTTTCAATGTATCATGAATCATGCGATGGGATTATTGTTCGAACATTGCTGTGTATGTGTGTGTGTATGTCTGAACTGCTATATAGGCAGAAAAAATCGTGAACTTGAATGACTAAATTAATGGTTTCAACATAGAACTCTGCACAGAAGTGCAGAAGTTCAAATTACCACATTCCATGTACCACACAAACAAAGAAATAAAAAAGATTCAAAAGAACAGTAATAAGCAGTATAGAAAAATGCGTTAAATGGACACTCCTTTTACTGCCAAACAAACAATGCCATAGTACCTATCGGTCAATGGATTGGCATGCCGCCTTCAGGTCAAGATATATGGCAATTGATGAACTCTAATAGCCTAGTATATAGTGTTACTCTGTTCCAGTTAGTGAATCTGTGTGTTTGTATCAATCTGAGATATACACTATACATGTCTAATTTCTGTTTAATTAAAGGAGAGAATTAAAATGAAACGAAACTCCACTGTAAGCATACATAACACTGTAGTCTTTTATCGAATAGTTAACATTTATGTTGATCATTGTTGTCAGTCTTTTGACTAGAGGTCTACAATGTAGCAGAAATCACTGTTTGACGATATCAGTGACAGTCTTGTAGATAAATATTTCACTTTCAGTATAGATTTTGTCGTGAACCAAAATCAGTTAGTGAGATCAGTGAAAACCAGGGAGCACTGAACAGTTTTTTCGTCCTAGTTTAGGACTCATTAGCAGTACGCACCCACGACCTCATCAGACATCGACAATCCAACCTTGTTGACCTCTTAACCACTCCTGCCGTGTTAATTCTAAGTTCTGTCCAGTCCTTTCTTGTTTCAATGACCTTTCTAACTGAACTGATGTTATAAGTTAATTGGTCGGTGGTGACTAGCAGCGGAATCCAGGATGCGCATTTCGTCCTATCCGGAACTCGTCAGATGGATGTACCTACCTGCATTTCGCAGTAAGTGATGATGTTCATGATGTTAGTTCGTGACAAAATTTGCATTGAAATTAATCCAAATCCCAACATTCTAAACGCATGACCTAAATGGTTTACTTGTAGTTTATTGTCCTACGCTGTTTTTATACTTGTTCTTTGAACAGTATTGATTAATGTCATTGTTTTCTTCATTTACTACTTATTTTACTGTGGTGGTTAGAGGTGATACCACCTATTGTGTTGACTTTGGAACCAGCAATTTTGGGTCCTTAACTCAACAGTAGTCTCTGATGCTTCCCTCACTTCACCTAACCCTAATATCTCTAATTGGGTTAATCCAACTATAACATGTGCCTAGCCTAACTCTAACCTTAATCTTTCCCTGACCTAAAATCATTCAGATATCGTGCACTTCATTCAGCACACTTTTTTTCATGAATGTAGGTGTTATTTACCTAGTTTCACTACCTTATTCAGATAGAACGTCTCAAGGTATTACCTCTACATTTGCGCCTGTTGGGTGTCTAAGCTTTAATTTTGGCCGTTATATGAATGTGCTAACTGACAGACATCTTTAATGTATTATCGTTTTCATTCGGAATACTATCGTCTCAACGGCTAAAATGTTTGCTCGGAACAAGTTTCTCAAACTCCTCCACTCTTGAACCATGTATTATAGTCGCCTCAACTGGGATGGGATATGACGGGATTTGAACCCTTGACATACTGGGTGTGAATAAAGCTCTAAGAGCCACACATCTAATGCAAAGTTGGTATTCACTATTAAGTTATGTATCCTTGGTGAGAGCTGTCAGACAGAAATAGACGTCAGTGTTTACGTCCCAAATCTCAACAACCAATCACAGCAGACTTAGCGTGGGCGGATACGACTAGCAGATATATCAACAGACTGCCTAAGAAACGGCAACCGAGAGATGACAGAATAACCTTCAGCAGAAAAACAACCAATCAGAAAACGTTACTTCTCTGCTAAAATAACGAATAATAATGTACGTGAAAATCTATAAATATCTCTTGATTTTCTCGAGAAACGATCTGTTGCCTGGTCCTTGTCTTCTGTCGTTACATATCGACTTATGTTGAAATATAGACTGTGCGTTACAAAAACAAACCTTTGTGTAGATATCATTATCTTAGTATGGACTATTTATCTCAATATCTTTATTAGGTAAAATAGCCCGTAGCTATTTGTTTCTCTTACTAAGTCGACACATTTTCTCTCCTAGCATATCATCAAACTTTCTGTAGATGAATTTTTCACAGTTATGTTATTTGTGTTAAAAAGAATATACGTTAAAAGTTAAAGTGCTGACATTGTCTTGAAAAAATATTGAATTTCTGCAAATCAACACGTGAAAATTATTCTGATGTTCACTGGTGACTGGTTGCACACACCGAGTTATCTGGAGCTCTAGTGAGAAGCTATCACCAACAGGGGTCCACAAAGCCAGGTAAGAGATCACTTGCTCGCCTATAACATTGGCTGTTGAGTTGCGCTATTTTTATAAAGAGAATTAGCAGAAGTCGGAATTCATGAATCATTGGATTGGGTCTGTCTGCGTGTCTGGTTTCAACATAGAACATTGCACCGGTGTGCACCAGTTCGAGTTGCCACACTTCACTCACCATACAAAGTAAGAGAAGAAAGTAAAAAGAAACGCAAAATAAAGACAGTAAACAGAGATATGAGGCAAAAAGAATGGTAATATCAAAGAACAATATAGTTTTATTGGGTATTATAAGTCACAAGGAGTGGATTTATTTGCGCCAGCCATTGACAACGATTTTGAGCCAGCCATATCACCAATTGTCTCCCGTCACTGCTTCTTACCGTCCTGCGGACCTCAACCAGGAAGTCCACAACTCCCTACCCAGTTGACTTAAACTAACTGTTGTGGATTTCATTGAGTGATGAAGCCATGTTTTGGTTTGCCCATCACTAGCTCTGTCTTTTCCAAACTGACCCTGTGTCAGCTAACATTGCCCGTCAAGGAAAATGATGGTTAGGCATGCATGCGTAAAACATGTCCTAACCATCTCAATCGATGTAACTTCACGACCTGGTCTATTGATGTCCCCTCTTCACCTAGTACTCGACGCCTAACATTGGATTGGGTCCCAGTAGCTCAATGATGCACGGTCCAAGGCGCAAACCTCAGTGAGTGCATATTGCCGAAGAGTCGCAAACTAGGACGAAACAGTTGTCCAGTACTCCTTGTCACTTCTCTCAGTGGTTCTCTAACTTATGTCAACTCATGACCTAACTTGAAATTATCTAACAATAACGCCGTCTATTCTTTGTTTCTTTAGTCCTATCTGACTGGCAGCTAGGATGGGTTGTATTCTTGCGATTAGTTTTAACGGGGATCGACTCCATTTATTTCTCTCTCTCTTGTTTGCTGGTAGTCGGTTGGTTTTATGTAAACTTTTTTGAGTTCCGTTTACTTTCATTTACTACTGTAACGATAGAAGACAAGGACCAGGCAACAGATCGTTTATTGAGAAAATGAAGAGTTATTTGTAGGTTTTTATGCACATTATTGTTAGCAGAGAAGCAGCATCTTCTGATTGGTTGTTTTCCTGCTGAAGGTTATTCTGTCATCTCTTTGTTGCCATTTATTAGACAATCCGTTGATATATCTGCGACTCGTATCCGCCCACGCTAAGTCTGCTGTGATTAGTTGTTGAGTTAGTCTTTGTTCTTGTTGTTTTCTCATGACCAAGATATGCGATGTAAATATTGATGTAAATTGCTGTCTACCAGTTTTGGCTAGCAGACAGCTCTCATCACACTGCCATTTCATGCTAGTACTTTGGAATTATATTATTATTATTATTCCGTGGTAAATATATTCAAGGAATCTTAAAGTTCTCTTATACGTGTATATATATGTATGTATCATTTATTCCCCCTATTTCTTTTAGTCTCGTAAAAATGCTGAGAAATCATCTACCTATGAAAAACCATTCCGTTTGCCTACAAATCATGTTTTATTTACTCGATTGAAAACAATTCTTATCTCAACAATATCTCAAGCGAAACAAGTACTTTGGATACCGACAATGGAACAGGTGAGTATTTGAATATATACATAATAGTGAATGAATTAGTGTTACTAACAACACGACCGGTAGTGATTCCTCAATTGAAAGATGAAGTACCTACACTGGTCACTTCTAATCGTATCTACCAATCCAACTGCGTTTGTGGTGGTGTGAGTTATATGGGCCGTTACTCCAAGAACTTGGTTTTTCGTGCTCCCTTTGGGAACATCTATCAGCGTGGCTGAATAAAGGTGTAGTTAGAAAAATCAATAGCTTCACACTATAGCACCTGGTTCAAACCGGCCACAAAGCCAATATTGAAGTGTTCTTCTCTATCATCTACCGGGTACCGCATGCTCCAAACAGCAGAGGCTATCGTGGTTCGCTTGAAACAACCAGTGCTTTGTGTGCAAAAGAAGCAAGTCCAGCCACTACTACTGCTCTGGCCTTTAGTGAAGACTAAAAATTCATGAATTTGTATTATTATCTTTCCTAATTTCTCTGTCTGATATTCAGTGTGTGCTGTTATGTTGATGCTATCGAACTGTAATCCATTGATATTATTATTATTGATTCGATGTTATTCAAACAGCAACGTTAATGTTGTTGTTAATAACACTAATTCATTCACTATTATGGATGCATATAACTGTAGAACCTGGTAATGAAGTTATCGAAAAGATAAAGTTCAGCAAAGAATATCCTTTTTTCGTAACTTCAACTCCATACAGTTATATACAATTTTCTAAAAGGTTATAGAAAAGATGATAAACAAGGTACTTTAACAAAGAACCTTATTGCTCAACAAATATGTAGAAGAAAATGGAGATGGATCGGACATACGCTGAGAAGACTGTCGGTTGGGTAATGCCATCACATAACCGGTGGGCCCTGGAGTAGAAGCGAATAGAAAACGATGAGTTTGGCGTCTGAGAGATGACATGAAGTAAATAAATTCGCATAAGCAATCGTAGAGCCAGCTAAAATGCCTGAGGAGAAAGAGAGAGAAAGACAGGACAGAGTGAAATGGAGGTGTGTTGCTAAGTTTCCATGTTCCACTCAGAATCCCAAGGAATAACACTGTAATGAAAAAGGTAAACTGCAGTAATATCACAAAATATAAAAATACATGTCAGGAAAAACACCTAATGTTGACTATCGCGTTTCCCAGTAGAACATAGGGCTTCAAGCTAGTGGCTTGAAGTTTCCGTAGCAGTGGTGTCTATTTTCACGGGATGAGGTTGCTAGCCTCACGCCCAACCTTTCCTCTTCACCAGCATTATTTCTGGCTTAGTGAGGTAAAGGAGTGCGTCCAGTGGCCGGGGATCGAGCCCTGGACCATGTGCATGGTCGGCGAGCGTCCTAACCACTATGCCACCGACACTCAGGAATGATTACCATTAAAACATCAGGCGCCTCGAAACAAGAATATTGTTCATTAAGAGTAAAACATCCCGAAGTTTGAAAGGAAAGACGCAGAAGAAAATGTCAGAAAGGCCACGGTAGTCAAAGGGCTCAAACAAACTGTTCCTATGCAGGATTCTCCTTCTGAATAATAGCAACAGCTTCTGCTGTGGAAAGAAGATGTCGCCGGAATCCTTTCGGGTGACCTGGCCGTACCAAGAATTGAGCTATTGATTCATCCAACTTCTCTTCTTGGTAATTATATAAAGAGATGTTCTTGTGCACATCTAGACAGTTTCCCACTGGTACGGTCTATGTACTTAGCTCCTCCTGTGAACTCCCAAGTGAACTGATATATATATATATATATATATATGTTCATGGATGTTGCCAAACACTGGAACATTATATGTGATATTTTCATGAATAATATTGATAAAGAATGTGAACTGTTGTCCTGATAAACTGGTTTTCTTTCTTTCTTTTAAGGCGATTGGTGTAATTTATGATATGGCTGAAACACCGGATTCAATTATGTGTTATCTACTACGTTCAGTTGCAGAGAAATTAGTCCAGTTTAAAGCACCAGCCGCCTTGAGCCAAACAAATTCAAATCCATCAAATGAAGTGACAACAGATATTGTTATTCCTAATAGTCAACCAACTGATGATGTTGAACAAGAGAATATCCCACCGCCGTCGTCAGCACCATCATCATCCCAGGTGAAATCAGATCCAGAATTAGCCAGTTCTGTTGCTGTCAGTGTACCAACATATTTACTGTCTAGATTTCTAGCTCTTATTGGTCAGATCGCACTGAAACAACTTATCTTTTTAGAATCAGCTGTTCTCACTGAATTGAAACGTCGAGCGTCAATTAAAGAGGATAGAGATTCAAAGCATAAATCAAAATCATCACGTAAAAACAATAGACCGTCAAGAGTAAGTTTTCCTTTTCTGTCTTACTAAAACACAAAATTGGTACAATTATCGGCACTAAGAGATACTGTACTATACAGACCGTAACAGGTGGTTGTCCCAAGGGGCCACCTCCTTCTTTTCCTCCTCTCTAAACTTTTACCTGAAGTTTAACCCACAAGACGACATAGTGGAGTAGCGTCTTGGGTTGCATTCGCATTACTTTCCAGTGTCCAAAATAAATGCATACGCCATTGGATCCTTTCGGATTCTGGAGACCATGTATACACCATCGGTTTAGAATCAGGGCTTTCTTAACTCTCTTAACTAGGTGGTAGACCAGCATGTCCACCTGTCTGATTATAAGCGCCAGACATTTGAATTTGCCCTTTCACTTTTTGACTCTAACCTTTCAGATGCTCTACGAGTACGACTTTTATATACAGCAGAAGCAATCGGAATTCATCTAAACAAGCCAAATCTCTGTATTGAAAAGAAATTAGTGCATCCTCTTTCTTTGCAGTAGCCAGCTAGATAATATCTACTAAGTTTTATAAACAATTTCCTCCTCCCCTTGTAAAACTATCTTCTAACTTTGTTATCTCATTATAATTACAATTCTAGCTGATTCAATTAACTTGTTCGTACCGTGGTCTCCTTACGTCATTCTGCGTGGTCATCACTATTTTATAACCTTCTTGGTTATGTAATAGTAATTCGTTGCCAACCCCCTACAAAATTAACTGATCTTCAATTCCGTAATTATTTTCACCCCCTCCCCACACCCCTGAAAACTTTGTAATAATAATGTATTTCATATAAATTTACAAATTTACATGAAAATGCATGCCATTTTTACAGGCACGATCTTCTTGCTGTCATCTAATTATTCGTTTATTTGTTTTTATTCCTTTACGCTCTCAGTGGAACATAGGGTTTTAAGCTAGAGGCTTAAAGTTTCGGTAGCAGTGGTGTTTATTTTTACGGGATGGGGTTGCTAGCCAACCTCATGCCCAACCTTCCCTCTTTGCCAGTCTTATTACTGCCTTAGCGAGGTAAAGGAGTGCTTCGTCGGCAGAGGATTGAATCCCGAATCATGAGAGGCGTGGTTGACGAACATTCTACCGCTATGCCACCGACGCAGTTATTTGTTTTGGTGATTGTAATCTCTTATTTTAAACCCACCTATCACCTCCTATACCTAAAACTGATCATTCTTATTGATTAAAATAACCACATGATTGGTACAATTTCTGAATATCAATGGCCAGCCGATCGATAGCTACTTCAATTGAGTTCCTGTAGCTGCAGTAGAGAACTGTGGCCACGAGGGTCCACCATATCAAGGTGCCTTGGATTGTCATCGAAGGCATTGCTTGAGGGTAATACTATGTCATGAGTCGACAATGTTAGACATCAAGAGTCATTGAATTCCAGCCCTAGCGGCTGAATGAATAATCGTCAACGTGCTTGGTCTCGTAACCTGGAAGTCCCCAATTTGACCTCTGGTGGTCTACTGCTGAATAGTCCCAAAATAGAATAAAACAGCTGTCAAATGCTCCCTTGATAGTTTTCAATGATCTTTCTAACTGATGCAGGTTCTTGAAGGAAATCTAAGATTTAATTTTTCTTTGGTATTAATTTTTAACGATGCGCACTTACTGCGACAGGAGAAAGGTCTATCTGGTTGCCATTCTGACAGTGAGTTCAAATCTCATAGCCTATAACTTTTAACTACTGACAGTATTTTCGTTTATAAATATATAATAACCATATTATTTATACTTGAATCTTCTTTTATACTTTCCTTGTGAAAGGTGTCAATGACTGAACAATCTGGAAATGCTTCAGCAGCAGGTCAATCAACTGTTGACGAAGAGTGCGGTTTAGTCGGTGTAGCCGCTGATGATACAGAAGCTGAGTATATACGTGAAATATGCGATGAAGAGTTACTCAAATCACCGGATCTTATCCTACATCATATGTTAAATTTTGTCACCTATGTCTGTTCACATCCATCCACATTCTCAGATGAAACTGTCCAAGTAAGTTGCCTTTGTTTTTTTTTTTTGTTTTTTTTATCACAACATCTGTGATCTGCTTGATACCAGAAACACTAATCATGAAAGCAAGTGTCGGTGGCACAGTGGCTGGGACGCTCACCGACCATGCACATGGTCTGGGGTTCGATCCCCGGCTGACGCACACCTAATATCGATGGTCAGCCTGTTAAATTTGGGCTACCGATATCACATGCTGCGAAATTCCATAGTTGTACCAAAACTACTGTGTGGAATCAAGCTATAATAAAATAAATGCATGGAACTATATACTACTGATTGATTGAATTAAGTAGTTGTATACCACTCACATGAACGGGTACTGCTTACTAGCCAGATGAAAGGGATGTCTCAACACCGGAAGGCGGTCATTTTGCTCATTTAGAACTGAACTCATTAGCAGTGTAGCCGGTTAGATCACGCCGGCCTCAAATGAGTGAAACGATCTGTCGGTGTTCAAATCAACCTGGATATAGTTAGGAAGTACCACTAGTTGATGTGGGTGGTATATAACTACTCATCTCGATTAATCAGTAGTATAAATTTTTATGTGAACATACTCGCTGTTTTGATTACCATTTATAGTCTTAATCAGATCACAGATCACGATCTGGATAATTTGATTTCCAAAGGAA